AAAAACATCTACAGCGGACGTATTTGCTATTAAGCTAACCGTTCCATTCTTTTTGCAACACAGGACTCGCAGAAAGATGTTAAAGAGTTTTGGAAGACAGGGATTTTCCGCCCGCTAATCCTTATCCCGTAGATCATTACGGAGTCTAACGGGACTTATTGTTGCCACCTGCCTTTTGGCACGTATGTAGCCTATAACCCGTCCGTCATGGATTTGTTACTATACTTGACCGTAATTCACTGTTTTCTGTAAAGACGTGCATCTAAAAAATGAAGAGTGAGAGCTTGTTAGGAAAAATCCAAATAAACTGTGTGTCATTGTCTCACAGACAGATCCGTTCTCAACTTCGTTACACTGACGCGCGTAAATCGCGTCACAGATCGTGATCGGTTAATGGAAGCGCAGTAAGAAGCATCACATATTTGTAACTGATGAAGCAAAAAGTTCTTAAAAAGCAGCGGACATCACTATTGGCAATCATATGTTATTTTCAACAGCATAAGTTTAAATAAATAGGAATGCAGACTGCAAAATAAATTGACCAGTATATATGCTTAAAGTTTCTCCAGGTGGATCGTGTTTCACATTTTTTAACCCCGTTAGGGATTGCGCTGAAAGCTTTCTAATATGCACCAATTGTCTTCAATTTTTTGATCAGAAAAGGGGCTTTAAAAAAGCAAGACACACGCATATTTTCGACCACCGTGAAATTTTCTATCGAATGGTGTGTGAAAGTTGAAAAAAAATTACTTTCATTTTGCTGTGCGTGCACCTTGCATATCAACTTGAATACCACAGACAGTCATGCTTCTTCATTTATTTTTACTTATCATCTATTTAGTTATTGCCTAACTCAGGCAAAGTCAATACTGTACGTACGAATGCAGTGAACTTGTATGCTTTGTAATCCGTGTCTCTATTTAGGCGATTCTCTACTCGTACTTGTTGAATAGTGCCCAAATAGCTGATATTTTTACGGCACTTGCATATTATAATCAAATACGACTACCACTTGCTAATTTTCTACCAAAGGCTATTGAGAGGCTGAGCGATATTCGTATCGCAGGCAAGCGTTTCGACAAATTTATGCGTCTAGGAACGGTACGAAAGCAGGAAACAATCTCTATGGCTCATCCTGATCGCGAAATTCAACACAAAGGAGCAATTTTAATGCGGGATGCATCATTCGCATGGCATGATCATAATACATGTCTATCGTCACTCAATATTAATATTAAGCCGGGCACATTAGTAGGTATCACGGGACCTGTTGGTTCTGGTAAATCATCATTTCTCGCAGCCATTCTCGGTGAGCTGACTCTGATCAATGGTCACGCAAATGTGAATGGCAGCTCGTTCTCGTATGCCTCTCAATCTTCATGGATATTGCCCGACACTCTTCGTGCTAATATTCTTTTTGGCAAGCCATTTGACGAACGACGTTATTCGAATGTATTACAAGGATGTTGTCTCGACGTTGATTTGAGCTTATTAGGACCGTGTGGCGATTTGATAATAATTGGCGAGAAAGGTATCAATTTGAGTGGAGGACAAAAAGCGCGTATATCACTAGCTCGTGCTTTATATGTGGATGCGGATATTTATCTTCTTGATGACCCACTGGCAGCTGTCGATTCGAGAGTTGCTCAAAAAATCTACGATCAATGCATTGGTTCTGACGGACTTTTGAGCAAGAAAACTCGTTTGTTGGTCACACATCAGACGCAATTCTTGATCAATTCACAACAAATAATTTGTCTTTCACATGGCCATATTCAAGCATCAAACCGTTTAAATGAGTTAAATTTTAAACCTGAATCTGTTAGTCAAGTAGATGATACATCGAATAAAACAGATCCGATATCAGTTAGCATGCTGGATATTAACAAACAATGGACTACTGATACTCAATCAATTATTACTGATGAAACGTCAGCAAGTAAGCTTAGTAGCTGGTCTGTATGGTGCAGATTGTTTGCTGGATCCCCTTTGAAATGGTTTGGTGTCATTCTACTTGTTGCTTTACTCGTGTTTGGCGAAATCATTTATGATGCTGCTAACTTATGGCTCTGTCTGTATCCATCGTATGTGGCTCATCATCGTCTATCAGAGTTTCTCCCTATATTTCTTGTCTTAGCATTGGGTACATTAATCGTATCTATACTGCGTTCAAATTATTTCTTTTATCTGATCCTGAATGGCTCAAACAATCTACATAATAGCATGCTCAACGGCCTGTTGTATACGTCAATGCATTTCTTTGAAAGTAATCCAACCGGACGCATCCTTAATCGAGCGAGTAAAGATCAACAAGTGACCGATGAATTATTGCCAATAACACTATTCGATGGTTTACAAGCGCTACTGATGACAGTGGGCTTAATGATCACTATTAGCTTCATCAATCCATGGATCTTGCTACTACTCATTATATTGATGCCTGCATTTATATTGCTATGTTATTATTACTTGCGAACTAGCCTTCAAATCAAACGACTCGAAAGCGTAACACGCAGTCCTATTTACACACTATTCGCATCAACACTGAGTGGCTTGACCACCATTCGATCATTCAAAGTTGAAAATGATTTTACACAGTTATTTGTGGGCAAAATAAATGCCAATACACGGGCATACATGACTATGCTAGGTGCCTCTCACTGGTTTGCTTCACGACTCGATTTCATGAGTGTACTATTTCTATTAGTTACTGCCGTTTTGTCGGTCACATTTCGTAAAATATTGATTCCGTCAGGAGTGGCTATAAGCTTAATGTATTGTATGCAGATGACGACATCGTTTCAGTGGAGTATTCGACAACTGATGGAAGCCGCAAACTGTACGACAAGTGCGGAACGTATCGATGAATATGCACAGTTGCCACCTGAGGAAGATGAAAGTGACCGTAAACAACTTATAGAAACACCAGAGGATTGGCCAAGTCGTGGAGCAATTGACTATCGAAATTATTCTTTACGTTATCGGCCATATCTTGAACCCGTACTCAAAAACATAAATGTGTATATTGAGTCCAATAAGAAGATCGGCATCATTGGTCGTACCGGTGTGTATAAAACTCACAATTAAAATTTTTTATTCATGATTTTCTATTGGTCTCCATATATAGGCGCCGGAAAATCATCCTTCCTGCAAAGTCTTTTTCGACTTGTTAATCGATCATGTGTCAATGGCGAAATTCTTATTGATGATATTGACATAAGTCGTGTTGCACTAAGCCATCTTCGTTCCAAACTTTCTGTGATTCCACAACAGCCTGTATTGTTTTCAGGTACTCTTCGATACAATCTCGATCCATGCAGTCAGTATTCTGATGAACAATGTTGGATGTCACTCGAAGCTGTTCAACTTAAACCGATGGTATCGAATCATCCGGCCGGCCTCGGATTATCCATTGCTGTAGGAGGTACAAACCTTAGTGCAGGCCAGTGTCAATTGATCTGTGTCGCTAGAGCTATTCTCAAGCAGAGCAGAATTTTGTTGGTCGACGAGGCAACAGCCAATGTTGATTTAAGAACAGAGGCACTACTTCAAGCAGCGATCGCTAACCAATTACAAGATCGAACTATTTTAACAATTGCCCATCGACTCCATACAGTACTTAAGAGTGATTATCTTATCGTGTTGGACAAAGGCACAATAGTTAGGATCGGTGTGCCGGACGATATTTTGCCTTACTACCAGTAATCTCATAATTATACGCTCATTATTCGCTTCAGTTTAAAAAATAAAAATTTCAGAATCAATTTATCAAGTAATGAGGGGGTCTGTGTATGAGTGTAAAAATGTAGCTACACCACTCATTCCATAGGTCCACAAGAAATTAAAGTTATCCTGGTGTAAGTTTTCTATCATTTAGCTGCCTTTTGAAGTATTGAGACTTCTTTACCCTTACACCCTTTGGTAACTTAAATTTGTTACGCTTGTCATGCGTTCTAATCTCTATAGTATTTCAATTTCCTTAGCTCCCTTAACTCCCTTTAATCTTATATCCTTTAAATTTTTCCATTTTCTTCCATTTGATCTGGAACGAAAAAAATTACATATTGTTAAATAAATTTATAGATTGAGTGATTTAATGTACTGAAGTATACAATCTTGCTCTTCCCAACAACATGTATCATAAAGAATGCAGCATGACAACTAAATAAAAAATTCATTGTCAACAAGAGAAAACAGGATATCACATACAGGCTGCCTCATTTCTTCACTATTGACATCATATTTTATACTTCCTTTTTTACTCATTTTCGACCATAAACGTTTCTCTTCGAATCAGTGTGCTTCTCCTCCTCTTATTTTAACATATCTACTACTCTTGGTCATCAATCCCAGTTCATCCGCCATCTAATCTACTAGAAAAACCTCGCCACCGCGGAAAAATCTCAATCGCGTTTTCTATACACATTACAGATAATTAAACATATTCATTTTTCTTCTTTCGTTCTATATTCGCCCATTTTGTCCAACTAAATGGCACTAAGGCCTCTTTTTCATTTATCAGGTTTCAATCAAAAGTAAATCATGCTCGACGATCACTCGTCCTTCGGAAGAAACGTGGAGTACTAGCTTACCCACAATGCCTGCGAGGAAGCAATCGTGCTTTATCTGACTCAACAATTGACGATGTGGTCAAATTCTATCGTGAAGTTGGTATCAGTCGGACCTCATTCAATTCCAAAGGCACAATTAAAATCAATGAAGAATCAGTAGCAGTTCGATTTCTAGAAATGACTGTCTTGGATGCGTACCAAATATTCAACGAACGTCATCCTGGAGCTGTGTCAAGATCTACCTTCAATGCTCTACGGGCACGAGAGGTAAAAACTGCAACGCCGTATGATATATACATTTGTATTATTCACGAGAACATGGATTTTCTAATAAAAGTTTGTGATATGGGTACTTTTGTTGGTTTAGACTTGTAATGATTTCATTACAGGCTTGGAATGACCACTACAGAAAGCACTCTGGCGTAATTTCCACATTAGCAAGCAAAAAGATCAATATGAAGGATCTGATCAATCAAATAGTTTGCACTGATTCGAATGAAAAGTGCTTTAATGGTCAATGCCGTGATTGTTCGAATAAGAACATCATCGATGTTCCCACTGGTGACAGTATGATGGGTTTGGATGATGAATGCTCATGGACTCTGTGGAAAAAGGTCAACAATAAGTTCGATCTTCAACAAATGCATGGCTCAGTAGATCCTCTGCCAACTGAAATCGAAGAAAGATGGTCTTTATTCTTGCTACATACGCATATTAAACTATGCATTGACACATCAGCGCGAAATTCAGCAAGGATTTTTTAGCCAACATCAAGTCACTTTATTTACAATACATCTTACCATCGGTAATGAACAGCGAAATTTAGCAATCATCAGCAACTACGTATATGGAACATACAACAGCATTTGTGCACTGTGCACAAAAAATTCTCGGTGAATTTATCAAGAAAACTTTCCATTAATAAAAAAAGGTGAATTATGTGAGGTAAATCTTATTCTTGTTTAAATCTGTGTGTTACGTTATCCCTTCTCTTTCGTTTAGTGATGAAGCATCTGCCAATTTTAAAAATAATTTCAGCATATTCAACCTGACTCATCACAAAACCAATTTTGGTTTATATGCTTGTTGGACATTTATCGCTACTGCACACGGCAAAAGTGCTGGTAACGGAGTTGGTGCTGTATTGAAATCCACCGTCAGGCATGCTACACTTTCCAAGAACATTCTCATGTCAAATGCGAACGACTTCTTCGAATTTTCACAAAGACAACAACTTGAAACAGCAAGGAGATCTAACAAAGATACTCCTGGTGTTCGTGTCTTCTATCTAGAATCGGATGAAGTAGAAGAGGTTAAGAAGAACTGTTTGAAAATTAGAAGCGAAAAACTTCGATTAGCAGGTAAGAAAGAGTTTCAGCTCTATTCTCGTATGTCTATATTGATTTAGGTACAATACAAGGCATTCGTAGTACACATGAATTCAAACCCATTAGCCGTTCAACGATTCAGTATAGTGTGACGTCTCGATCAACGCAGACAAAGACGTTTACGTTCCAATATAACTCCTTTTATTTTTCATTTATCAATCAACGTTTTTACAATCAGTCTTGACCTTGATACTTAGCATTCAGAAAGATTCGACAGCTCTCTTGCTCATTATACTCGATTTCTTTCGTATAAGGGTTGATCAATCCGGATGAATTCTGGCATGAAATTTAATGTTATCCACTTTTCATAGCTCCACCAAGAAAAGAAAGGAAAATTTCTTCGAATTAATTCAATACGATTTGTACTGACAAAATATGATTGTTGTTATATTCACAGAAAATGGCTCAGAACTTATGGTTGCCAATACGACTGGTCTAGTTATCATCAGAAAAAAATTCTGTGGACTTATTTGATATTCATGAATACCAAAAAACTCCGAAAAAAAGAGCTCTTGATAGAGTTCTAGGCGTTTTTCTATCGTTTTTTCTCTATATAAAAATATACCGTACTTGTGCCTAAAAAACGCTAAAAAACTCGAGGGTTTTCGCAGATAGGACCCAATTTTTTTTCATCAAAAGTGTTTTTTTATGCATACCGGCTTATTGAAGCGAAAAAGGTCGAAAGAAAAATCTTTCCAAAAAACTGGACGGGTCCTCATGGATTCACCCATATATAACTGAATATGTTTTATATTGCTTTTTATGGTTGAATTTGATTGAATTTAATTATTTTTAAATGAATTAATCAACTAAAACTAATTTGAATATTTACGTATATTAAAAGACATCTTCATACTTCAAACGAAAAACCAAACAAAATACAAATAGTAGGAAAAGTAAAAAAAACACACACAACTTTTTCTTCAATAGATTCCATATTGGCAGTTCATTTTTCATAGCATTGTCTGATAATAAGGATGTTCGTTCCGGAACAGCTTCTTTCTTCGACAAAATATTGACCTGTGCTCTTTCTGCTTGTTCAATCCAATTAATCTTTCGAATATATATATAAAATACAATATTCGTCACGATTAAACTCGAGATTATAGCAAACCAATAACCAGCCATATTTAAATGTAAAACAAATATAAAAAGAACTCCCATCGGGATACCCACGAAAAAGTACGATGAAAATGAAACTATAGCATCAAAATATTGTCTTCCACAGGCACGCAATATACTTGCTTGCGATAAATGATAGAAATCAAATGCACAGAAAATAATTACAATTAGTAATAAATAACGAGTTGAACTACGAGCTGATTCAGGTGTGTGAAATACATATGGAATCCAGTAGATAACAAGTAAACTACATAGAATTGTTAAACTAATTGGAATCCAAACAATGATATAAATCGTATTTTTAACTTGTATAGCATTTTCATATGAATTAGCCCCAAGACATCGTCCCAAAACAATAGTTGCACTAACAGCAAATGCGAGTGTAATAAGAAAAATACAAAAATCAACATGAAAAACAACATTTTGTGATGTTATAGCATCTTTATTGAATACAGTTGCCAATAGGATAGCACCACCATAGACAAGAGTCTGAAGAAAACTTATGATTACTCCGGGAACACCTAATCTCATATATGTTGACCAATCTTGCAAACAGTCCCGTCTCCATGATTGCCATGTTTCTTTTGATAAAGATGTTAGTCGAAGATAGATAATGCATGATAAACCTATTGTCAAATAAGCAAAAGCGAAAGCGATTGGTGGTGCTGCAACGCCAAACTTGAATACAAATAATAATAAACAATGAGCTACAACATTAACAACATTTCCAATACTATTTATGGCTAATAATGGCCACGTAACACCATGATTGATAACAAATTTTTGCATAAGTATTGAAAATGCTTCGAATGGAACCATAATTATTGAAAATAACAAATATCGATTAATCAATTGAATTGATTGTTGATCTTTTCCGATAAATCGTGTAAAATATTGAATGTTGACAAGAAATATCCAGGCAAACATAACAGCAAAAGCTCCAAGTAAAAAAGCTCGTTGAATTATAATATCCATTTGCCGTTTGTTTCCGCCATAAGCTTGACTTAATAGCGTATCACAAGCATATGTTAATCCAAAATGACAAGAATATGCAAATAATAAATAGAGAATTCGTCCTAATGCACATGCATTAAATTCCTGTTGACCAATCCATCCCATGAAAACATTCGAAATGGCTGGTAGCAATAATAGTTCGAGAACATAACTAAATATATATGGAAAACATAGACGAAGTATTTGTTTCGTGTCCGATCGAAATTTAGGATTTGAAATTGTTTTCATTGCTTGATTTGTTTTTATTTCCTTTTATACAAAAAACTGCACGGATTATTCTATCTGAAAATAAAAATATTATATTATTGGTTTCGACAATATTTTACTATCAAACATATATTCATAGAAATATAAATATAGGACACACGATAAACGACTTTAATATGATAGTAACGTATTGGCAGGCCAGGGGGGGAGGGCAACTGCCCACCCCAGGTTATTATGATACGGTCGGTTCCGGCCAGTTAGGTTCATTTTCCGACCATTTCCTTGCCGCCGGATTCCAGCTGGAAACGGTCAGGAACTGATCGGATATTTCCTGTGAAATTCCGACCGGAATCGAGAAGAGCTGTACTGGATCCGACTCAAATTTCAAAGGATCCAGTCGCCGAAATGATCGACCTGGGTACCCCCTGAAAAAAACTTTTCAGCTAGAAATTTGAAAAAAAAACGTATGTCAAATGGTTCATCAGTGTGATAGATCCTTTTGCAGGGTTTATTACTCTACACACAATTTTTTCAGTGCGGTGCTATTCCAGAGGAAGAAATAAACAAAGCAGTATTCTCATCAGAGCAGACATCCGTTTAATCGAAAATCATCATAACTTATACATTCATGGCCATATGATGCGATATAGCGTTTGCCCGGAAATTGCATCTATTTGGATGTAAGATGAATTACCGAGAAATCCAAAAACCGTGTTCCAAAACAACTCTTCATAGTCGAAGTGGATATTCTAAACAGCACACACAAAACTTCCAGTGAGGGTGCGGCGAAAGGTGATGAGGGTTTCTTTTCAGTCATTTTTTTCGTAACAATAACTTCTACTCATGTTTTATTGCTATAGCTATGAGCGTCTGAAGGGATATAATAAATTCGGTCTACCTCATGAACTTCGGTAGTTTCCATAAAGTCCGTATAGAGAAATTTCTAAATTTCCAAGTAGAAACTTGCAAATCTACATTTCTCGGAAAACGTTATAACGCATCAAATCTTAATGGCTGCTATAACTGATACTCAGACAAAAAGAAAAATTTAATCACATGATTTTTAACTGATAGCATGCAAAATAAATAGCTAAATAAGTGCGCTTATGAAGATATTCTTAATAGAGAATGGTAAAAAAAATGGGTTGTATTTCATTCAATAAAAAGTTTTCTTCACTCACATCTAGATGAACATAGCGATTGCACCTGTTCTCTTCTTTCTTTCTCCAACACGTGTCCTCCAAATGGCTGCATTTACTTCATTCTGCATCATTATTCCGTTGATTTAAATTTAAATTAACAAGATATACAATGAATCCTGTCGTGAAGTCGGAACGTGCAACCTTTGCGTGGTATGAGAGAGAAACTTAAAGATACCTTTAAGGTTAATGCGCGTATACGGAAACTATCGGGCAGTAGCGATAGTGGATCGCAATGAAGCAATCTCGGATTGCGCTGAAGAAGGCAATGGTAAGCCACTTCGGTATATCTACTAAGAAAATCCAATGACAATCAACGACGTTTCAAGTTATGGCGCTTGAAGATGAGATCGCCAGGTTGGAAGGCACCTAAATTCTGGCTGGGGAAGAGCCAAGGTCACGTACAACTAGCACTGCGAATAATGACGCTGCTGAATTGAAACCGAAAGGAAGTTCAACGGCTGAGCAATACAGATACAGGCGGAAAGACCAAAGCTTTTTGAAAACGCACAAAATCGGCATATGGAATGTAAGAAGCATGAATTGAGGCAAGCTCGAAATAGTCAAATTAGAAACGGATCGTATCAAAATAGGCACTCTTGGTATAAGTGAACTCAAATGGGCAGGAAATGGTTATTTCACATCTGGAAGCTACGAAGTCTATTACTCTGGCAGTCAAAACACCTGGATAGACGGAGTGGCCATCGTATTAAACAGGAAACTCGTAAATTCGGTAACCGGATACTTCCCAAAAAATAGCAGAATAATCTCTATTCGACTCCAAGAACAACCAACAAATTTAACAATAATACAAATCTACACACCAGCTACGGAAGCAAATGAATCAACAATCGATAGTTTTTGCATGGATTTACAACAAACACTTGACAACACACCAAAAAAAGATGCCATCCTGATAACTGGACACTGGATTGCAAAGGTTGGAGAAACGGTGGGACCTGGCATAGTTGGAAAATTTGGTTTGGGAAAACGCAATGAAGCTGGGGAGAGATTGATTGTTTTCTCTGAAGAAAACCGTATGCTCATCACCAATATATGCTTTCAACAACCAAAACGACGATTACACATGGACAACACCAAATGGCCAACATCGAAATCAGATCGATTATATTCTCTACAACGGACGATGGAAAGCCTCAATAACATCAATCAAAACACGACCAGGAGCTGACCGCGTCACTGATCACGAACTCCTAGTAGCAGATTTTCGAGCCATGCTCAAACAATATTACAAACCAACACTAACAGCAAAGTTCGATCTGCAAAATATTCTGCACAAGTACAAGATCGAAGAAAAACAGATTCGATGCACTCAATCTGGTCTACAAAGATCTTGAAGAATTATGGCAAGAAATACGTGGCACAGTAAACGACGAAATGCAAAGAAATATCCCGGCAGTTCCAAGGAAAAAGAAAAATAACTGGTTATCGTCAAGCACCTTGGCAATCGCAAAAGAAAGACGAGAAGCTAAAGTAAATGAGAACAGACAAACTCTCGCAAAACTTAATGCCGACTTTCAACGCGCAGCGAGAATAGACAAGCAAAAACAAATCATCGAAGAATGTGAAAAGTATAAGAATACAACAAGAAAGGTATGGCAAGGAATCTATTTAAGAAGAGAAAATACCTTCGTGGACAATTTACACCAAGAGATGATATTCTGATCGATCATAGTGATACGAATTTAACAAGTGGTGACGAAATTAAAACTGAATGGCAGCGATACATCGAGCAGTTATACAGGAAATGAATTAATGGAACGAGAGATCTTGAACTCGACGGCTACGAACTGGAACCCAACATCTTAGAAAGCGAAGTTAAATTCGCCCTAGAAACATTAGCAAGTGGAAAAGCTCCTGGACATGATGACATTCCGATTGAATGTTTCAAATCAATCAAAGAAGGGGCAGTGACAATACTTACAAAACTATGTCAGCAAATATGGAAAACATCAATATTCATTCCCATACCGAAGAGTGGAAATGCTAAACACTGCTAAAATTACCGTACAATAGCTCTGATCTCACATGCCAGCAAGATCATGTTGAAGACTATACAACGACGATTGGAGCCTTTTCCGGAACGAGAACTGTCCGTTACGCAAGCAGGATTTAGAAAAGGTCGAGGAACACGCGATCAAATAGCAAATCTACGGTAGTTAATGAAAAAAGCTCGAGAATACCAAGAAGAGTTTTACCTATGTTTCATCAACTATAGTAAAGCTTTCGATTGTGTAGGTCACGAAAAGCTCTAGCCGGTACTATTGGAAATGGGTGTGCCAAAGCATTTGATCATTCTCATGAAGAACTTATATACCAACCAACAAGCAACGGTGAAATACAGACTATGGAAATACCAACTAGTTCAACATTGGAAAAGGTGTACGTCAAGGCTGTATCCTGTCACCATATCTATTCAATTTATACACAGAGCATATAATGAGAAAATCTGAAATATATGAAACAGCAAGTGGTATAAAAATAGGTGGTCGAAATATTAACAATATACGCTATGCAGATGACACTACAATACTAGCTGAAACAGCCGATGATCTGCAATACCTCATACAAAAGGTGAAAAAAAGTGCAGCCACTGGAGTAAAACTAAATATGAAAAAGAATTTCGTGATGACAAACGGATCCATTCAAGAACTTTACATCGACAATGATCAAATGGAAATAATCAAAGAATTCATTTTCTGGGCTCTGTTATAAACATTGATGGTAACTGCAGTAACGAAATACAGAGAAGACTTCTGGTGGGTAGGAATACAATGGTAAGCATGAATAAACCCATCAAAAACAAGGACACCAGCCTAGCCACCAAAACTAGAATAATCAAAAGGATGATGTTTCCGATAACAACATATCACTGTAAAAGAAGAGTGGGAGATAATCTACTCTACAAAAGGATTTATTAATATCATGTAGCCTTCATCAAGATTTCATAAAACCCTTTTTTAGTACATTCCACTTTTAGGTACTCTTTTAGGGTATATGACAGTTCCACAAACCCTTGGAGGGTTTGTTATACGTTGCACTTTCATAAACCCTTGCACGTTCATAAAAATAATAAACCCTTTGAAGGTTTACTATTTCTTTTTCATCAATCCTCAAAGGGTTTATGAAAGTGCAACGTATAACAAACCCTCCAAGGGTTTGTGGAACTGTCATATACCCTAAAAGAGTACCTAAAAGTGGAATGTACTAAAAAAGGGTTTTATGAAATCTTGATGAAGGCTACANAACCTCCGAGCTTTTTACCGTTTTTTAGGTACAAGTAAGGTATATTTTTATATAGAGAAAAAAGTGAGAGAAAAACGCCTAGAACTCTATCAAGAGCTCTTTTTTTCGGAGTTTTTTGGTATTTATAAGTATCAAATAAACCCACAGCATTTTTTCTGATGATAATTAGACCAGTCATATTGGTAACCATTGGTCCTGAGTCATTTTCTGTGAATATAACAAGAGTCATATTTCGTCAGGGCAAATTGTACTGAATTAATTCGAAGAAATTTTCGTTTCTTCGGAGAAAATAATTGCTTCTATTTAACTATATTTTCGGAATTATGTTGACTTGATGACTTCACTCGTAGTACTAAAACGGTTTATTATGACGCTGTTTCGCCAAACTGAAAGAACACCATGGAAAAGAGCAGTATGATTCCAAACGATAGATTTTTAATTTATACGCATACAAAGATATCTGTAGATTGAAACGTGAAGTTTCACTACACGTGCGTGACTTAAACAAATGAGATTACGAATGATTCGTTGGATATTATAAACACATTGATTGCCGGCTGGTATATCTTTTTTGTGTCAAAATTCTATTTTAATGACGAGACAAAAGTCTTGTGAACATCGGATAAAGCATCGTAAATCCATACGTGTGCCAAAAGGAATAATGGCTGTGTCATTACAGTTGTCGAAATTTTTAATAATTTCTGAATATGATGTGGCTCAGAATCGAATTCCCAGGTTATGTCCGAGATGCCATGCTTTTCAATCGGAGAAAATAACGACTTATCAATCGATGGAATGCAACAAGGATGAAAGTTCAAGGGATGACGATAATGAATAAGTTCGTTTGATGACAATTGCTCCCATAGAATGGGGTCGACAAAAATTGAAAAATGGCGCGTATTCTATCCTTCTTTCCTTATATATTCGCGCATTTTGTCCAACTAAATGGCAGTAAGGCCTCTTTTCATTTATCAGGCTTCAATCAAAAGTAAATAATGCTCGACGATCACTCGTTCTTCGGAAGAAACATGGAGTACTAGCTTACCGACGATGCCTGCGAGGGAGCGATCGTGCTTTATCTAACTCAACAATTGACGATGTGGTCAAATTCTATCGTGAAGATGGTATCAGTCGGACCTCATACAATTCTAAAGACACAATTGAAATAAATAGAGAAACAGTGGCAGTTCGATTTTTAGAAATGACTGTCTTGGATGCGTACCAAGTGTTCAATGAAGGTCGTCTGGGAGCTGTATCAAGATCTACCTTCAATGCTCTACAGCCACGAGACGTAAAAACTGCAACGCCGCATGATATATGCATTTGCATTATTCACGCGAACATGGACCTTCTAATGAAGGTTTGCGATATCGGTATTTTTATTGATTTAAACTTGTAATGGCCACTATAGAAAGCACTCTGGCGTAATTTTCGCGTCAGCAAGGCACAAGATCAACAGGAAGGATTTGATCAATCAAATAGTTTGCACTGATTCAAATGATACGTTTGCTGTGGCACAGGTTGATTTCTCAATGAACTATGCATTGATACATCAGCGCGAAGTTCAACAAAGATTTTTTAGCCAACATCAAGTCACTTTATTTACAATACGTCTTACCATCGGTAATGAACAGCGAAATTTAGCAATCATCAGCAACTATATGGAACATACGACAGCATTTGTGCATTGTGCACAAAAAATTCTCGCTGAATTTATAAAGAAAAACTTTCCATTAATAGAAAAGGTGAACTATGTTAGGTAAATCTTATTCTTGTTTAAATCTGTGTGTCACGTTATCCCTCCTCTTCCGTTTAGTGACGGAACATCTGCCCATTTTAAAAATAATTTCAGCATATTCAATCTGGCCCATCACAAAACCGATTTTGGTCTAGATGCTCGTTGGACATTTACCGCTACTGTACACGGCAAAAGTGCTGGTGACGGAGTGGATGCTCTGTTGAAAACCACCGCCAGGCACACTACACTTATTAAGAACATTCTCATGTCAAATTCAAAAGACTTCTTCGAATTTTCACAAAAACAACAACTTGAAACAGCAAGGAGATCTAACAAAGATACTCCTGGTGTTCATGTCTTCTATCTAGAATCGGATGAAGTAGAAGAGGTTAAGAAGAACTATTTGAAAAGTAGCAACGAAAAACTTCGATTAGCAGGTAAGAAGGAGTTTCAGTTCTATTCTCGTATATCCATATTGATTTAGGTACAATACAAGGCGTTCGTAGTACGCGTGCATTCAAACCGATTAGTCGTTCAACAGTTCAGTATAATATAACGTCTCGATCAACGCAGACAAAGACTTTTACGTTCAAACAAACTCCTTTTATTTTTCATTTATCAATCAACGTTTTTGCAATCAGTCTTGACCTTGATACCTAGCGTTCAGAAAGATTCGACAGCTCTCTTCCTGATTATACTCGATTTCTTTCGTATAAGGGCTGATCAATCGGGATGAATTCTGGCATGAAATTTTATGTTATCCACTTTCCATACCTCACCAAGGAAAGAAAAGAAAACTTCTTTGAATTAATTCAGTACAATTTGCTCTGACGAAATATGACTCTTGTTATATTCACAGAAAATGACTCAGGATCTATGGTTACTAATACGACTAGTCTAATTATCATCAGAAAAAATGCTGTGGTTTTATTTGATACTTATAAATACCAAAAAAAGAGCTCTTGATAGAGTTCTAGGCGTTTTTCTCTCACTTTTTTCTCTATATAAAAATATACCTTACTTGTACCTAAAAAACGGTAAAAAGCTCGGAGTTTTTCGCAGATAGAACCGAAATTTTTTCTTCAAAAGTATTTTCTGATGCATACCGGCTGGTTGAAGCGAAAAAAACGGAAGAAACCTTTCCAAAAAGCGTACGGATCCTCATTGATTCACCCTCTATTTTTAAATGATCTAGTCCTTTTTGGAGGAGTTCCGTTAACTTAATCCATATTCTAGTCGACTAAATTACATGATAATTGCCAGAAATATTAAGGAAGACTCACAGTCACCGCTAAGTATACATAACCTTAACTGTATAAATACTTGAAACGGAAATGTTCGTGCAATTTATGCCATAAAATAACCTAGAGATCGTGTTTTTTTAAAATTATTCAGATCTCGAAATATGAGGGCGCGAATTCACGTTGTCCAGCATCAAAGGATTAAAATTTATCATCGAAAGACTGCCATTACTGTCCGAGCTTTCGCTCTTTTTTGCATCGCATTTTCCAGACAATATCTGCAAGTTGATGTCTTGTACAGTAGATCATACTGCCAAGGCAAGGAAACATAGAAGATCATGATAATGTCCGTATTTACGCAAAATCGCAGTGTATAAATATGGGAAAAGTATCCTGGTACAAAGAGCGGTGTGCATACAACATCACAAAAGACGATATCATTAGAAAGAAACTTAAGTAGTAGATACAAAGAGAAGATCTTATTCGAAAAGAAATATCAGAATCAGATATGTTCATGTCGTCGAAAAACTAGTGACATACGTGGTAAGGAGGATTTATGATAGAAAACACTTTCATATAACGCCTTGAAGTCAGTTCAACATGCCAAAAATTGTAATGCATAGGAGAAAAAAAAACTGATGTGGCGAAAATATGTTTTTAATAAAAAGACACTTTTGCTTCGTTTTCTCATTCTTACTGCGTAACTTAGATGTGAAACAAATGAACTTGGATAGTTATTCGATGAATTTCACAGTGGTACTCTACATGTATCTGTGTAAAAATGAAGAAAAAGAAGAAGAAATAGTTATAGGTACTAAATAACATCAAAGAAACATTTATAGAGAACAAGCATACATGAAAATCACTGAATCAAAGTTATTTTTCGACGACATCGAATGGGGTCGTTCAGCTTGTTTGCTGATATAGTTGCGTTTATTTTTCCGTAGTACGGTAAAAGTATTAATTGAGGATTCAAAACTGTAAGAATACTAATGGTGCCATTATTCAATCACTATACGTACGTGTTCTCTCTTACGTCACTCAATCGATCTGATTAGCGTTGGAGCACTGCAGCAAGAATTTGAAGTCGCAAGTAAGAGTCGATTATATTCACTTCTTGAAGATCAAGTAGTCCCGCAGCTCTCTGAGATGAAAATTGACGGCCAAAATAATAGAATGCTTCATCATCAGAGTCCATAACATATCATGACACAGAACTTTGAAATGAATGGTATATTTTTTATTTAACAATAAGTAGAAATGAAACAACGATATAATGAGATAGGACCATGTCCCTTGCTCTTTCCCACGCAATTCACGTGAATCCAGGAGAAGAAAGAAGAGAAAAGAAAGAAGTCGATTTGGGTAAGTATCGAAAATTACTCTGGATTCATAGCGAGAGTAGTGATATCCTATATAACGACATAAATTAGACTATATTACACAAAAACTAATTATCAACTGACTCCACCCTTCGATGAAAAGACTTCAGAATTTTAAAAAGCTTAATAATTGCTTTGATTGTAAACAGTTTTTCTCATTTACAGAAAATCCTCAACACCCACTTTAGCATTATGTCACTGATAAGTTGAATGAAAGAGTCAGGCTTCAGATTCATGAAGACTAATCGATTCTTCCACTATTTCAATAAAATCAGGCTGCTCAGCAATAGTGAATAGACCTATGGAAAATCAGAGCAGGATACCAGTTTTCCTTTGAACTTTTCTGTCTTTTTCTGCAAGTGAAACCTTTTTGTTCGTGTACTTTTCACTTATCGCTCAACTTGAAAGTCATTTGAAGTAACCCATGAATTCATATACTACGCATCGCTTTGGATCTGCTGATGCTTTGGACAGTTGTTCGATTTGTTTTCACGATGGTTTTTACTTGCAACATTCTATAGGTCTATTTCAGTCTCTTTGATATCATGTTTCGGAAATAGTGAGACCTACTCTGAATCAAACTCAATCTTACACATATCTTTCGATCAATCAACCACTAATAAGCACGAAGTGTTAAAGTTTGAATAGAGAAGACTTTTAGGAATAGAATATCGTGATGTAGGCACTTAAAAAATATAAACGATATTCAATCAACAATCGTCTATACACATGCTCTACCATTATTTGCTGTTGAATTCTTCTATTCGAGTATAACAATCTTGTTTACAGTATTCGTTAGTACTTTGATGTTACGACGCTTACAAAATTTTGTAAAGAAAGATATCGAGTTAGGTTAGATCGGACGGGCTATGGTGCTGAACCGTCTGACTCTGCATCTGTTCTATTGAACCAAGTTGAGAGCAATCAGTTTTGATCCGCATTCAGTACTCTTTCGAATGATGTTTCACAAAGTATAACTACGTTTTTTTTTCTTAATAAACCTTCTTTGCTTTCGTAAATGTGTATTATTTTATTGAAAATAATCGGACATTTTCACACTTTATTATTTTGAGCAGAGAGCATTTCATAGTAGGTCCCACGTTGTTGTACTAATTCGGCATGTGAGCCCATTTCTNATTTGAAAAAAAACCTATGTCAAAGGGTTCATCAGTGCGATAGATCCTTTTGCAAAGTTGATTACTCTACACACATTTTTTTCAGTGCGGTGCTATTCCAGAGGAAGAAATAAACAAAGTGGTATTCTCATCAGAGCAGACATCCGTTTAGTTGAAAATCTTCATAACTTATACTTTCATGGTCATATGATGCGATATAACGTTTGCGCGGAAATTGCATCTATTTGGAAGTAAGATGAATTACCGAGAAATCCAAAAACCATGTTCCAAAACAACTCTTCATAATCGAAGTGGATATTCTAAACAGCACACACAAAACTTCCAGTGAGGGTGCGGCGAAAGGTGATGAGGGTTTCTTTTCAGTCATTCTTTTTTTTAACAATAACTTTTACTCATGTTTTATTGCTATAGCTATGAGCATCTGACAGGACATAATAAATTCGGTCTACCTCATGAACTTTGGTAGTCTCCATAAAGTCCATATAGCGAAATTTCTAAATTTCCAAGAATCAAATTCCCTATACGAACTATACGGACATCCATATAAGAAGTCCTCGCTCAATTTTCATACAGGGAAATTGTGGTACTATGACCAACATGGAATAGTGCGGACGGGTAATTATTTTCCAAGGAGAAACTATTGCAAATTTGCATTTCTTGGAAAACGCTATAACGCATCAAGTCTTAATGGCAGATATAACTGACACTCAGACAAAAAGAAAAATTTAATCATATGAATTTTAACTGATAGCATGCAAAATAAGTAGCTAAATAAGTGCGCTTCTGAAGATATTATTAATAGAGAATGGTTAAAAAATGGGTTGTATTTCATTGCTTAAAAAATTTTCTTCACTTGCATCTAGTTGAACATAGCGATTGCACCTATTCTCTTCTTTCTTTCTCCAACACGTGTCCGCCACGTGACTGCATTTACTTCATTCTGCATCATTATTCCGTTGATTTAAATTTAAATTAACAAGATATACGATGAATCCTCTCGTGAAGTCGGAACGTGCAACCTCTGCGTGGTATGGGAGAGAAACTTAAAGATATCTTTAAGGCCAATGCGCGCACTCGGAAACTATCGGGCAGTAGCGATAGTGGATCGCAACGAAGCAATCTCGGACTGCGCTGAAGAAGGCAATGGTAAGCCACTTCAGTATATCTACTAAGAAAATCCAATGACAATCAACGACGTTTCAAGTTATGGCGCTTGAAGATGAGACCCCCAGGTTGGAAGGCACCTAAATTTTGGCTGGGGAAGAGCCAACGTCAAGTACAACTAGTACTGTGAATAATGACGCTGCTGAATTAAAGCCGAAAGGAAGTTGAACGGCTGAGCAATACCGATACAGACGGAAAGACCAAAGCTTTTTGAAAACACACAAAATCGACATATGGAATGTAAGAAGCATGGATCAAGGCGAGCTCGAAATAGTCAAATCAGAAATGGATCGTATCAAAATAGGCATTCTTGGTATAAGTGAATTCAAATGGGCAGGAAATGGTCATTTCACATCTGGAGGCAACGAAGTCTATTACTCTGGCAGTCAAAACACCAGGAAAAACGGAGTGGCCATCGTATTAAACAAGAAACTCGTAAATTCGGTAACCAGATACTTCCCAAAAAATGGCAGAATAATCTCTATTCGACTCCGAGGACAACCAACAAATTTAACAACAATACAAATCTACGCACCAACTACAGAAGCAGATGAATCAACAATCGACAGTTTTTGCATGGATTTACAACAAACACTAGACAGTACACCAAAAAAAGATGCCATCCTGATAACTAGAGACTGGAATGCAAAGGTTGGAGAAACGGTGGTACCTGACATAGTTGGAAAATTTGGTTTGGGGAAACGCAATGAACCTGGGGAGAGATTGATTGTTTTCTCTGAAGAAAACGGTATGATCATCACCAATATATGCTTTCAACAACCAAAACGACGATTATACACATGGACAACACCAAATGGCCAACATCGAAATCAAATCGATTATATTCTCTACAACAGACGATGGAAAACCTGTATAACATCAATCAAAACACGACCAGGAGCTGACCGCGTCACTGATCACGAACTCCTAGTGGCAAATTTTTGAGCTATGCCCGAACGATATTAGAAACCAATACTAACAGCAAAACCTGATCTGAAAAAAATTCCGCACAAGAACAAAATCGAAGAAAAACAGATTCGATGCACTCAATCTGGTCTACAAAGACCCCGAAGAATTATGGCACGAAATACGTGACATAGTAAACGATGAAATGCAAAGAAATATCCCGGCAGTTCCAAAGAAAAAGAAAAATAACTGGTTATCGTCAAGCACTTTGGCAATCGCAAAAGAAAGACGAGACGCTAAAGTAAATGAGAACAGATAAACCCTCGCAAAACTTAACGCCGACTTTCAACACGCAGCGAGAATAGACAAGCAAAAACAAATTATCGAAGAATGTGAAAAAGTAGAAGAATACAACAAGAAAGGTATGGCAAGGAATCTATTCAAGAAGATAAAAATACCTTCATGGGCAATTTACACCAAGAGATGATATTCTAACCAATCATAGTGATAAGAATTTAACAAGTGGTGACGGAATCAAAATTGAATGGCAGCGATACACCGAGGGGCTATACAGGAAATGAATTAATGGAACGAGAGGTCTAGAACTCGACGGCTACGAACTGGAACCCAACATCTTAGAAAGTGAAGTTAAATTCGCCCTAGAAACACTAGCAAGTGGAAAAGCTCCTGGACATGGCGGCATTCCGATTGAATGTTTCAAATCAATCAAAGAAGAGGCAGTGACAATACTTACAAAAGTATGTCAGCAAATATGGAAAACATCAATATTCATTCCCATACCGAAGAGCGGAAATGCCAAACACTGTTCAGATTACCGTACAATAGCTCTGATCTCATATGCCAGCAAGATCATGTTGAAGATTATACAACGACGATTGGAACCTTTTCTAGAACGAGAACTGCCAGCTACGCAAGCTGGATTCCGAAAAGGACGGGGAACACACGATCAAATAGCAAATCTACGGTGGTTAATGAAAAAAGCTCGAGAATACCAAGAAGAGTTTTACCTATGTTTCATCATCTATAGTAAAGCTTTCGATTGTGTAGTTCACGAAAAACTCTGGCCGGTACTATTGGAAATGGGTGTGCCAAAGCATTTGATCATTCTCATGAAGAACTTATATACCAATCAACAAGCAACGGTGAAAACGGACTATGAAAATACCAACTGGTTCAACATTGGAAAAGGTGTACGTCAAGGCTGTATCCTATCACCATATCTATTCAATTTATATACTGAGCATATAATGACAAAAGCTGAAATATATGAAACAGCAGGTGGTATAAACATAGGTGGTCGAAATATTAACAATATACACTTTGCAGATGACACTACAATACTAGCTGAAACAGCCGATGATCTCCAATACCTCCTAAAAAAGGTGGAAAAAAAATGCAGTTGCTGGACTAAAACTAAATATGAAAAAGACTTTCGTGATGACAAACGGATCCATTCAAGAACTTTACATCGACAATGATCAAATGGGAATAATCAAAGAATTCATTTTCTTGTGCTCTGTTATAAACATTGATGGTAACTGCAGTAACGAAATACAGAGAAGACTTCTGATGGGTAGAAAGACAATGGTAAGCATGGACAAACTCCTCAAAAGTAAGGACACCAGCCTAGCCACCAAAACTAGAATAATCAAAAGGATGGTGTTTCCGATAACAACATATAGATGTGAAAGTTGGACAATTAGATAAGGCGATAGAAGAAAAATCGACTCCTTGGAACTTTGGTGCTGGAGAATATTACTTCGTATTCCATGGACAGAAAGGAGAGCCAACAAATCTGTCTTAGAAGAAATAAAATCTGATTGCTCACTAGAAGCTTCAATGTTGAAACTAAAACTGTCATACTTTAGGCATATAATGCGGCAACAGGATTCTTTAGAAAAAGACAATGCTTGGCATGGTCGACGGCTAACGACTTAGAGGAAGGCAAAATAAGAGATGGATTGACACGATAAAAAAAGACAAATTTAACATTGGCTCAACTCAACAAAATGGTACATAACAGAAATATGTGCAGAAGATTGATTCATCGGATCACCAAGAGTCGGGCTCGACTGAATGGATAAATCATCATCACGATGAACCACCAGTAAAACTCAAATCATCATTACCGCCAACTAAAAAGAACTGTCAACAACCTCCACAACAGATAGTCTTATGAACGACTTTCAATAACCTCTTTCTCGTCCATTATCTGCCAATGGTGATTCCCTTTCACAATATATTCAACAATCAAGTATTTATTTTGGTTCACGGCCAAATCAACAATCTAATCGTAAACGTAATCGTGCACCTGCACCACACTTGTCCAACTCACGTCCTGTTAATTGGCCTACATTCTCTCGACGATCGAGTAACGATTTTGACGACAATGCTGATTGTACAACAGTGTCCATATCACAAAAACATAAACCAATCAGTTCAACGTTTCACAACGCTGATACTCTTAGCGATTATTATCAACTACAATTAAGCTCCCACAATTGTTAGTCGTCTCAATCTCCTGGTTTTACCTGTCCGAACACTCCTCCTCATTATCATCGTTATTCATATCCGAGTCGTTTTCAAATTAACCAAAGAACGTAATAGATAGTTGGAATGTCTAAGAATCGTTTAAAATGTCTGAGAATATACAATTAAAATTTTCCTAGTTGAAAACAGCTAACTCACTGATAGACAGCATTTTCGGCCAGTACACACATGAAATAAAACTCTACATAAAAGCATATTCGTCTTTCGTGTACTAAATTATTAGTGTCGTTGTCGGCGCGAAAGACGACTAAATACGTCCTTTCTTTCTTACCAACTCATCTACATCAACATGATAGTAGAAAAACATAGTTTATAAGATAAAACCTTAGTTTTGCACGAAAAAACAGATACATTATATAGTTAGTGATTTGTTAACGATCTGTCTGTCTGTTGCAGATAGGCTTGGCGCCTTCATTGTAGCCGTTTCACTATATTTAAGATATCAAATACATGGTTCTCTGTGTTCTAAAAAGTTACTGTCAAATTCTCTGCAAGATCATGTTTTCTAAGAATTGCTGAATCTTCCAAGAGCTTCTCAATGCTCATATGCATAACTTCACAAGTAGCGAGAAGGAATTCGAAATATTAGGTTGTTAACAAAGTTTTTGCGTCTTTTTTCCAAAATTTAATCTTTAATTTTTAACTGCAACAATACAGCTAGCTGTGCCGACAAAAGTGGTAGACGTTCTTTTGTACAATACCCCGTATATATATCCCAATAACTCTTGAGCTGTTTTCATTTCGCTTCGTATGACATTTTTCTTTTCTTTTTCTTTATCCTTCTCTTTCAAGATATTCTCTCTCTATACATTTTCTCGATGTTTCTCTTTCTCTTCTCCCTCTCTTGTTCTCTGATATGATATCGAAGGAATTAGTTGTAGATGGACATCAACAAGAGTTAGTCGTGCCTATACTCCTCACTGTGAAAAAAGGGCAGAATAATCAACCCTTTTAAAGGGTTTATTAACTTCAGAAAACCTCGAAAACCGCTTCTGTCTTCTACGATTCTTCTACTGAATATATGAACAAGCCTCTTAAGGGTAGATGAATGCTCACCTACCATAAAGGTTTGTGAAAAAGAAGGGTTTTTTAGAGGATATATGACGTTCACAAACCCAAAAAAGTTCATGTCACGACCATCAATCTTTTTCGAGGGTTTTATAACTCTACGCTTCTTTTACAGTGCTGCGTTAGTTGTCCATAACTATATACGTATACGCGTACACGGTGTGTTACATTTAACTGAATACAAAAGTTATATAGAATCGTTACTGTGACTCTAAAAACGGAATAGGAGTCGGAACCTGCACAATCTCAAAATATATATTTATTTGTTGATGTTATCATTTTCTGTCATATCATTTGAATAATAAATCATTACGTCTCGGTGTTGTCCGAACGTTTGGAACTATTTCATTTCTCTTGATTTATATTCATCTATCAGAAGTACATTCCGTAACACTAGCTTTCAGTTATATATGCACCACTACTCTCTACGACTTGTCGCCATCAACCTGACAGAGATAGGATACCGCGTTCGTAGAAGTCCTTGGACTTTTGACCGAAGCAGTTAGCGATATTCATTTTCACGTCGTTGACGTTGTCGTCGAACTTTTTCTAAGCCAAATGATGAGAAAGGTAACGAAACAAATGGTAATCCGTTAGTGCTAAGTCAGGAGAATAAAGTGGATGAGGAACGGTAATCCAACCGAGCTTCAATCATTTTTCGCAGGCCAACTTTGCAACGAGGGGTCGAACATTGTCATGCAAACAGTAAATTCGATTCTGCTTTTCCTTGAGTTTTTCGGCAATCCGATCCAGTTGTTGACAGTAGAGATCTGCAGTGATAGTACAACCGTTTGGAAGAAATTCCCAGTAAATAATCTCATTGACGCCTCATCAAACGCTCAGCATCATCTTCTCGAGATGTAGATCAGGCTCAAGTGTTGCTCCGCGTGTCTGACCAGCACTAAGCCACTGGCGTCTGTGTGTACAGTTAATATACAACATCCACTTCTCATCACCAGTAACGAGACTGCGGAGCCGTTGGCAGCTGTGGTGAGATGTCATTAAATCCATACAAGCATCAATCCGATGTTATAGCTGATGTGGTGATAACTCGTGGGGTGTCCAAACTCCATATTTCCTTGTCTTTCCTAATTCGTTCAGATGTTTCCCCACTGCAACATAAGAGCCCTCAAGCTGCTCTGCTAAGCAACGTAAAGCCAATCGAGGATCTTATTCGACGAGCTGCTTCAAGAGTGTGACGATTTTTGATAGATGAGATGTATGCGCTGATGGAACTGCGCCTATATTTGTTTCTTCCTCATAAATCGCATCGTTCTGATACAAGACACGCGTTTATATACTCGTCCACACAGAAGAGAACGCAAAAAAACATCATATCAAAGTACATCAGAATGTACCAAATAAGGAAAATCAATTTGATGAGAAAAATCATATCGCGCATACAGCGCGTGCCAGAGAGATTGCCACAAAGAGATCCACATCCACTGGTCGATCGGACCGAGGTAATTCGTCGAGTTCTAAGCTACCGTTCTTTAAAAGATTCGACCAATACTGTGTCGTACAAGTAGAGAGTACATTCTCACCCATCGTGCTGCGTATGCTGTTGGCTGCTCCCGCTGCTTTGTGACCCAAGCAGAATTCATGAAGTAAAAGCACTCGAATCTCTCTACGTGAAACATTCATCCCCAGTTCACGATCAACGTCCATATTGATGACTTTATTATCATTCAGAAGATATTCAGAACCCCTTTATGTACCCTTCGTATGTAAACTTCTAGAACTTTCTGCAGTGTTCTAGAATATTTTCATAAAAACGCAAGAACTGCGTTAACAATCTAATACATTTTTGTAATGAGAGGAAAAAATTAAGGATTTAATGATTGATCAGCGAGATCTCCTTCATGTGCTATTTCCAAATTACGCATTGAAAAATCATCGAAAGAAATAACCGAGTTTTCAAAAAATCACGCAAAAGTAACACGGAACATTTGTATTCGGTGCGATTCTAAATTTGTAATTTTTAAACGGTACATCACAGGAATCTCACTGAGCTTTTATTTGGCTTTACATCTCTCTCCTTATCTGAATATAACTTGAAGTGTCTGCACGTCGTGCGAAATATAATACTTATCAAGCCTGGAACATTCTTCTAGAAACACTCGATAATTTTCGTACGATATTTTGTTTAAAACATCTTATAACATGGTGTTGAGATTTTCAAAATCATATTCTTTTACTTTTTATTTAATTGTTTTCATGGTGCAAATAAAGAGGAAAAAAAGAATTTCCTAAAGTTCATGAGACTTCGACAATCTAAATAGGTTTTATTTTCTGCAGTGACTATAGTACTTACGACAGAAAAAGATTTGCCTGCGTCTTGTCATTTTCGTCTTATAACCTGCTGTGAGCCTATTCAGTTCGGATTCCATCAAGAAAACATCGTTTCATCTCTTTGTTCAAGTTGTGTTCAATTGGCAACGAGCCGCAATCATGTCCATTGTTATTCTTTACTAGTTTCATCGTAGTCATGTTTGTATTTTATCTAAAATGAAAAGAAATATTGGGGAAATGATGACTAAGAGCTAATGTACTGAGAGATTGATCTAAAGACTCATTAAGCCCCAGTATATGGCTTTCGTCAAGCTTAGTTTTGTCGTTTATTGACGACAGCGAAATATTCTTTTACGGACTCATTATATGATAAGGCTGTCGGAAATTCTGAAATCGCGTCTTCATCTAAATAAAGGTTCACTCTTTTCAAACAGCAATTCAATTGATATATCAGTTTATATCTTATCGTAGTCGAGATGAGCTCTCCTGAAGTTGAGCAAAAACATATGTGAGATATCGTACTATAATCGAAAGTATCGTATATAGTATACAAAACTGTGACACAGTGATGGGGACCTAACTGAGAGAGATTCAGTTTAACTTATACTCGGCTCACACTCAAAGAAACGAGCTCACCATGATATCTCCTCAAGTACTTTCATCACATTTCACAAAGCTTTTGTCGGTGTATATACCATAATGTCCTAGTGCAAACCCTAAAAGAATCTGATCGGAAACTCATTCTTTCAGCGGTTAGCAGGATTTTACTAAAATTGCAACCATTCAAAGACATGTAGCTCACAGTTAAATGAGGGTATTGACAGCCAGCGATCAACCTTCTGCACAGGGAGTTAAAAATTATTAAGGTATAGGGAAAATTTTTTAATAATCATAATAGAGTGTTGAAATGTTACTAATTGCATACCAAAAGTACTGAGGAAGGTACTTTTTTCCTTGAGAGAGGGGGAGGGAGTTCCCTCCTTCCCTCTTAACATGTATTCTGATAAAGCGAAATGAGCTCTTGTATATGATATTTGATTGATCCATTCAGTAGAAAGAGTACGATGAATATCGTTAAAACATCAAGAGCGTCAAAAATTGCTTGTAACCGACAGTATAGAAAACGTTTTTGTTTGGCGTATATCTCAGATTGGGAAAATGATAAAAGCTTATTTTATCTAATAAAAATGTGCTTCAAGAGCCATACACAAATCGTATAAAAACGATTTTATGCAATGATTTTTTGTGATATCGTGTATTCCTCAGTATTAACATGCTAAATGGTAATATAATATTCCGACGTAGTAAGTATAAGTAAAAACCCATAGAAAGCCTTGTTCTTCTGCAAAAAAGATTTGAACATATAACCAATGTACGGCCTTCGACAATACATCTTTCAAGGCAAAGAATTGATTCGCCTTCATTTTCGCAAATCAGCATATCGGCTTAAACGCGTAACGCGTCAACTCGGAGGGCGTGATATCGAAATCATCGGATCGAAAGCTGGTGGTTGCTATTTTATAGAGCATAGTCGATAGTGTGAAGAAATGTATTTCGTTTTCTTTATCGCTGTAGTAAATCTCATCGAATGCTTAAGAGTACTGAGATCACTAATGTCTACTAAAAAATTCATTTTTTAGCTTGTTAATGAATTCAGTCGATTTATTCAAACAGTTAGATATATAGTGTGTTGATGAAGATAATTTGAGAGTATCTTAGTAGATACATATTTTGACATAACATTAACTTTTTTATTCCTTACTGCTCTATCAGGAGAGCATGCCCAAAACTACTCTATTTATATCATCATCGGGTTACGAAAAGTCAGTATAGTTTATTTTTCACTAATAAGGCTCAACATTTTTCTTCTCAAAATACATATCCAAGGCTAACTTTTTACAAGCTTTCTAACATATATATTTTTATTTTCCAAAGATCACACTGTGTGAAATTTCTTCGTAACGCGATGACGTTTCTTCATAGTTTTTCAACGATTTTTGAGGGGTGCCAAAATTTTGAAAAAAATCAATGTTTGTATTTTTCAATCTAATCCCATGGATTCGATGCAGATTTTCATTCTGATTCTAAATATGTAATTGGTTTGATGTTTTAAACCCATTTTTACAAAGAAAATTAAGGAACACCTTTTAGCTGCTAGATCTTTATAGGTTTTCTATATAATTTGTTACCGATAATTTTCAAATTGAAATCGTTAATAATATCAGATTTAATGCTAATTCTGGACAACTATGACAAAAACTACACTATAATAATTTTATATAGCTAAATGCCTTTGAAATAGATGTAAAAAAAACTCTGATTCGAAAAACAGTATCATCGCGTTACATCAGTAAAAGGCGATTTCTTTGCAGCATATGTTGTTGTTTAATTAAATCAAGCACGTCGTTGCTAACCTTATGGTGTCAGCTTAAGATTGTTTAAAAAATGTTTCCTGTGATGTAGTGTAGATTCGCAGAAAAATACTGATCTTGTACATCACTATCAATATTTTGTCTTTTTTTCGTCATCGTGTTACGAGAGGTATTTCATCGATTATTTCCAAGCAACTAGTCCAAGCGATTTGGTTTTTGCAGATGACTATAGAGGGACCAGGGACATATATGATAGTGAAGAAGAAAAATTTTTATGGTTATTAGTCTATGAGAAAAAAATAAAAATACTCTGACCAAAACGTCATCGCGTTACGCGCGTTCATGCCGATATACTTAAACGAAGAAAGCTTTCCAGATATTTCTGCCATAATTGACGCACCTCGAAATTCCAACCTTATGTAAGGTGTTAATACTGAGGGCTACACGATATCACACAGAAATCATTACATAAAATCGTTTTTATACGATTTTTATATATCAGTGTGAAGCTAGCACGAACAAACGATGAGTTAGCTTTAAACTTTGTTACTAAATATGTCCCGTCCATGCAAACTATACCATTCGACTCAGAATTTAATTCTGCATCCAATGATGGTACTTTTATTCACGTAACAAACTTGGGAAAATTTTTTATCTGTCTTCATTCGTTTCCTTCAGGTCTATTTATAATCTAGATCGAATATTTTCAAAGTTTGTTCTGCGAATAAAAGTACCACCATTCGATGCAGAATTTAATTCTGCATCGAATGGTGTAGTTTACATGGACGGGACATATTTAGTAACAAAGTTTAAAGCTAACACATTGTTTGTTCGTGCTAGCTTCACACTAATTTTGTATATGGTTCGTTGAAGCACATTTTATTAGATGAAATAAGATTTTATCATTTTCCCAATCTGAGATATACGCCAAACAAAAACGTTTTCTGTATTGTCGATTGCAAGTAATTTTTTACGCTCTTGCCGTGTTAACTGTATGCATCCTACTCTTTCTACTGAATGGATCAATCAAATATCATATACAAGAGCTCATTTCGCTTTATCAGAATACATGTTACTTTGATTTCCGGGATTCACTCTAGTAGCGCAATAATCTTAGACATTTGTATGAATATTTTTGCACCGGGATGTTTGATATATTACTCTGATGATATGTTTGCGTACATTTTCTTTGTAACATAAGAATGCAATATCTTTCAGATGAATAAATGTTCAAAGCCCAAAGTCTATATAACTCGTCGAGAAACATTTTCAAGTGCGCATCGTCTCCACTCAACGGCTTTGTCTGATGACGATAACATGCACATATTTGGTAAGTGCAATAATCCTAACGGACACGGTCATAACTATGTGCTCGAGGTCACGGTTGTTGGCCATGTGGATGAGCACACCGGCATGGTTATGAATATTGCTGATCTCAAACATATAATACAAGAACATGTGCTCAAGTTCATTGATCATAAACATCTTGATCTTGATCTTGATCATTTCCGCATAAACAAGATAGTTAGTACCACCGAAAATCTAGCTATATATATTTGGCAACAACTAACTACTGCTATTCGGAATCAATTTGACAAAGTTCACTTATATGAAATTAAATTACACGAAACTGAAAATAATATTGTTGTGTACCGTGGAGAATAAACGTTTTTTGTTGTGTATCTGAGTACGCTGCAGAATTCTTACCAAACAGAATTAAGAATTTTGTGAGCATGTTCATAGCTCATAATTGATAAAGCGTGATCCTGAACAAGACAAACCTTTGTACTGAGACAGTCATTCTCAAATACAANCTTAAAGAACTGTTACTCTATATTGTTAAAGAGAAAAAGAAGCTCTATCTTTCTATACTATTCGATTGAACTTCACTTAAGAGAATAATATTAAACTTTCTATAACATCTATTTCAACTGGTTATGTGCTCGTTGTATCAGATCATACTTTTATTGTTCAATATGTGCTTATGGCATACTAAAGACACGGACAGTAAGATTTTAATGCCGTATAACAAGGTTAAAGTAACTTTCTTTTATATAGTCTAATAGAGAAAAGAAAGCTCTATTTTTCTATGCTTTTTGTTCAAACTTCACCAACTACATATATAGAAAGATATTATATGGGGGTCTAGGACGGTAGGGCGCCAGAACATTTGTTTGCTTAGACAGTTGTTCGCAAAATAAACTACTATTAGAATGATGAATGAAATAATGGAATCAAGATTAGTCAAGTAAATCAGGAAGATTTCGACTAAATTGAATGAAAAAAGGATTTTTAAAAGTCTTATATCTCGGTCATAATGATTTGGTAACGCGAGTGATTGCAAAGTTGTATTACTCGTGTAAGACTTAAAGTCTAAGTGATCCATTGATGGAGATGTTCTTCCAAAGTTAGATTCACGATTAAGTACGCTATAATAGTGACTACGATCAACATACATATGCCTGTGAGCAGAGTAAAACTCAGTCGATCAGTATAGCTTTAGCGAGCTTAGTGTTATGAGAGTCATTGGTATCATAGACTTAATGAGACCATATCAGCTCCGTGTTCCATCCATGCTACACATAATCAGTATGAAAAATTCGTTAAAAGGTTTCCCTCAGAAGTCGGTCGAAATCTGCCTGATATACGACTAATTTTGATCCCATTATTTCATTCAGAAGTCTAATAGTAGTTTATTCTGCGAACTACTGTCCGAGCGAGCAAATGTCTTAACGCGCAAGTGTCCACGTGCAACCGTTCGTTCCCCAAAATAGAATCTGGTACAACCAGCCGAAATAGATTTTATAAATAGTTTAATATTATTCTCTTCAGTGAAGTTCAATCGAATAGTATAGAAAGATAGAGCTTCTTTTTCTCTTTAACAATATAGAGTAACAGTTCTTTAAGGCTTACCATAAGAGATTAAAGTATCACTCTACGAACTTTTGGTATGCCCTCCAGTATACCGGTAAAGACGAACGATCTGAGGATGGATTTTGTAATAATATTGTAATTATATTTTGTGAAACAGTACAACATCCAATCAATCATAAAGTTTATTTTGATAATTTCTATGCGGCGGTTAATCTGCAAGTGGATTCATCAAATTAGACATTTATACTGTTGCTGCAGTAAGAGAAAATCGCCTAGCAGGTTCCCTTATGAAGAACGCGAGTGATTTATCAACTGAAAGACATGGTGCGATGGATCATCGTATAGCTGTTGTTGATGGTGTGGAAGTTTGTGCAGTTAAATGATATGATAATAACATCGTTGATTGCCTTTCAAGATCATATGGTTGCCATTCAATTGATTCTGCTGAAAGATTGTCAACCAGGGGAAAAGGCAAATACGAATTATGAGACCGAGTATTCCACAGGCATATAATTAACATATGGGAGGAGTTGATATGATCGATATGCTGATTTCTCTTTATCGTATTAATGTTTAATCACAAAAATATTATATCAAGATCATATTTTGTCTAATTGATTTACCAGTTTTTAATGAATGTCTCTTATATCGACACCATTATTCTCAACTTAATGTTTCAAAAAAGAATGTGGCGTCTTTATTGACGGTTCGTATTAATATAACAGTCATTATTTCAATCATGTTCACCTTCGTCGCAGTGAAATATGGTCGCCCATCATTATAATCAGTGACTAGTGAAGTTTATCCCCGAGCTTTGCCTACTTCACTTCCAGTAATAAATATTTGATTGGATAGATTTGAATATTAACATGTTTCAACAGCGGAGGGTTGATGTCGAAATCTTGCTTGCATTGGTCAAACCAGAATCTCATGTTCAAAATGCAAAGTACGATTATGTTTCAACGAAACAAACAATTATTTCAAAAACTACTATAACCAACAAGTGGTCTTTGTTCAAATTTATTCCTAATGTTGTCTGATATTGATCTTCTTGCACTGTTATCACATTTCTCTACACATTTTTATTTCTTTTCTTCAGTGCAGACTTGATAAATAAATGAAAAAAAAATCAGTGTGAAGCTAGCACGAAGGAGCTAGCACGAAGAAACTGTGTGTAAGCTAAAAACTTTTTTCCCAAGTTTGTCCGGCTCATAAAACCTAGTCCAATCGATTCAGAATTTAATTCTGCATCGAATGGTGGTATTTTTTATTCACCGGACAAACTTTGGAAAAAAATTATCGGAAACATAAATAGACCTATATGAGGCAAACAACGATGTGGTTAAACTTTTTTCCAAAGTTTGTCCGGTGAATAAAAATACCACCATTCGATGCNTTCAGAATTTAATTCTGCATCGAATGGTGGTATTTTTTATTCACCGGACAAACTTTGGAAAAAAATTATCGGAAACATAAATAGACCTATATGAGGCAAACAACGATGTGGTTAAACTTTTTTCCAAAGTTTGTCCGGTGAATAAAAATACCACCATTCGATGCAAAATTAAATTCTGAATCGATTGGACCAGGTTTTATGAACCGGACAAACTTGGGGAAAAAGTTTTTAGCTTACACACAGTTTCTTCGTGCTAGCTCCTTCGTGCTAGCTTCACACTGATATGAAAAAATCATAAATTTCTCATTACGATAGTCAAAAACAAAAAAAGTGGCTATATGAAACTTTGACTCATACTGACCGGATGTATCCAAGTGGATACAGCATGCCATTCAATATGGTAGTGTACTTTGGCTCAACCAAACAAACTTTTCTCATCTCTAGGGCCTGAAAGAGAGAGAAATATATGAAATTTTTTTGCTTCATTTCGTCTAGTAACGGGCTTGAAAGAGCCAATGTTTATAACACAAAAACGTATGTTGAGCGAAAATTAACATAAAAATACCGTAAACAGATTTCATCCATTTCATATTTTCACACAAGTAACAAACGGCCTTTTACGGTCTGTAAGAGAATCATCAGTTTCTATTCAATCGAACAAAAAGAGTATTTCCAGAGACATAAATCTTATAATCGTCAAGTCTTCTATATTTTAATGTAGTAAAGATCTACATACGAAAAACTAGTTTTAAAATCTTGTAAATTTGTTTGGTTGACCGGAAAGATTAAGAGAAACAAACTTCTTCCATAATACGTAAATTGGGTTAGAAAAGAAAACAGTTCAGTGAGTAGAATATCGTTGATTTCGTATTCTTTATTCTTCTTATAAAAATAAAATATTATCACCTTACTTTTATCGATCGTATATAACGCATACATTTCATTCTAATAAATGCTCCTTCGTAATTCGTTATAATCCTTAATAAAATATATGAAACAGCAGTGTTACATATCTTCTGTTTTGGAGATGCATCCTGATCTCAGGTAGGCGATAAATTTGTCTTCAGTGAGAGATGCAATATTTGGTGTGAGATATGCCCATGTTCGAGAGTGCGGATGCATCTTGGGAACGCAGAATATCTGGAAGTGCTCGTAAGTTTAGATAACAAAACGTTTTCTAAGGAATAATATGGACAAACGGATTGAAGCCTGGCGAAGTGATGGTTTATTGGTAAGCAGCAAATGGTGAAGTGAGTGGTGTCATACGTCCCATACTAAATGCTACATCTCGTCTCCGTAAACGCGGAACATATGATGCTTTTGTCTCTAGATCACTCATTCCGTACTAACATGCATCCGAACATTGTTTTCCGAGTGACGATTTTTATGAGAACTAAAATCGAACTTATGATATTCTCAAAGATCCTTAATGCAAATGATCCACATGAGTGTGTGCACATGTAAATAATATGTTCTACTGAGTGTATCAAAATAGATAGGCTTTTCAGTAATTACTATAGAGTTCACTAATATTTCAATGTTTATGCAAAAAAAATGTAACAAAGATTTCTCGTTAAATTGTTTACAATACGTACAGATTTCTATTGTCTCAGATGATTTCCGTTATTTTATGACACACGATGCAATCGATGAGCTCAAAAAGCACTGCTTGCAAATAAACGATTTTCTGTAGACAGCTCCATGAGATATTCACCAAAAATACCGAAAGTATTCTGATATGTTTCCTTTCTTGTAAGAATTATCCTAGAGTTTTTTTCTGATGATTTTGGTAGAGAGAATTTTTGAACTTCAATTATAAATCATGACATTATAGTCAAAATATTAGTCAAGCTTGAAATAAACTATTTTCTGATCAATCATGATAAAAAGTCGATTAGTATATCTCAAAACGGGTGTGTCGCAGAAATATATGAGTTAGCAAGTTTCATAGAAGAACGTTTACTCCACAAAATTTTTTACCAGAGTCCGTGAGCGGAGACTTCTACGGCGCCATGAAAAATATTATTTTCTCCGGCGTCGTAGGTATCTCATCTCACAGACTTTCTTAAAGTGCTTTCCGGAGACACTCGAATGCGATTGATAAATCTCAATAAAACATTGTAAGTGGATAGGTATCAGAAAAACAGAAGATATCATTTTTATATGAATATTACATAAAACGTTCTATTAAGATTCAGGTGTACTGTTCAGGTATTTTGGAACCTCTGTCTATACTGTGTTCTACAACAAACTTTCTTTTAGAAAGCCTATTGAACAACATTCCTTCCTAGTAAAGTAATTTTGAGATATAGTAAGTCTATCAAAAATTCTTGCTTGATAGTTGTGCTCACTGGCCAAATCAATTTTACTGTTTCTCATAAAATAATGAAAATCATTTGAGAGAATGAAGACCTGTACGTTCTGTGGAGAATTTAATGAGAAACCTTTTGCTAGTTTTTTTTTCGTTTTTCTGAAACTCAGTTTATTAGGTTACAGCAACCGTTTTCCCCCTCTTTCCACAGCTTCTTAAAGTTGGATCGGACTGAAAACTTTTTTATACTACTTTAATCAATGCGGATAGGTTTTCTTTTGTAGATATCTGTTACTGTTCAAATTTAGCCGTCTTTATAAATTTTTTTGGAATCTGAGAAGTTAAGGAGTTTCCATAAGACCGAGTATTCTGATTTCCTTGGTTAAAGTATTAGCCGGTTCTGAAAGAAAAACACCCATCTCTATTGAGCACTGATACTCACAGTGAAAATTTTAGCTTAGGCAGATGTAATCTTTGAATTCGCGAAGGAAAAATTTTTCGCAATTTTATACGATTTTTTACTTTGAAGTCTTTGCAAGCCTATAGACATCCGATATGATACATATGTGCCTAGTGCAATGTCTGCGTTACCAGTCGAGACCTACATCGCTTAAAAGTTGCAAAAATTTTTGCTCAGTGGGTTTCGCGGAAATACCAGAAGATGGGAAAGTCACTTCAAAAGAATATATTGATAACGCCTGAATAACTTTCTTTTTTGTGCCAGCAGCTATCTAATTAGTTTAGTTTGCGCTTCTAGAAAGTCCATGTACACTTGAACATGATTATATGTTTTCTTTAATTCATACTATCAGCTAATGAAATAACATAGGCAATTATAAAGCATAATAAGGAGGATTCAATCACTGCGAGTCTTCACTAGAACTATATAGAATTCTTAGAGCTTTAGAATATGCTTTGTTTTTGTCTATGTTTTCAAAATAGAATATATTTGTAGATATTCACCTCCATAAGTTGATAGTTTAAACTCATGCAAAGATAAAAATCTTCTCTGATTAGTCAGGAGCACATAAAAGACATCGTTTTATTCTTTGATTGTAGAAAATCACAAAATGTCTGACGACCTTATCTCAATATCTTCTTTGACGCTCAAAGCTATCGTTGGTTCAGATAGTTGGGGGAAAGCAAAACTGCAGACAATCTTGTTGTCGTTTTCAATGCGAACCAACATATCTGCTGCAGGCAAGACCGATCATCTACCATATTCCATTCATTATGGTACGGCTAATAAAATAGTATCAGAGTTCGTAGAAAACAAAACATTCGAAACGATTGAAGATATTGCGGAAGGCGTGTGCAATGTGCTCCTAAGCGAAAAATTGAAGGGCGTATGGATCAAGCTACGAGTAGAAAAGCCACGAGAACTGTTACGGGCCGAAACATCAGGATTAGAAATTATTCGATCAATACCATGTGACAATGTGAAATCGGTAGCTGATTCAATGTTTGTTCGAAATCTCTCGCTTCTAACCATCATTGGAATACATCCATGGGAACGGAAAGAAAGACAACCAGTGCTACTAAATATGACCTTTTATAAGTCATCAGACACAAACTTCTGGTGGTCGGAAGGATACAATCTTAGATCTATTGTTCATCAAACCTGTGAGCACGTTGAAACAAGTTCATACCTCACGATAGAGGCTTTGATAACAAGCATTGCTAAATTGTTATGTGTTAATCTGAATATTTCGAAGGTCACAATTTCTGCTAGCAAACCTTATGCACTTTCGTTTGCGATACCTGCTGTGGAAATCACTCGAGACAAGACATATTTCGAAACGAATCAGAATGTCTATCTAACACTTAGCTCAAACGTTAGATCACGTGCACAGAATCTTTCAGACGCGATAAAACAACTCAATGAGCGAGGTATCATGGTCGTCGACACAAGTTTCTTGTACGAAACAAAAGCGATGGTTAATACTGTTCATCCATGCTTTTTGTATGCAGCCGTCTGTGTGGAAACAGAATTGTCACCTGATGAGCTTTTTCGTGAACTCAAGTTGATTGAAAATGAAATAGAAGAAACAAAAACAGTGCTACAGGGATCACGAAAAATTGTTTTAGACATTCTTTTATACAAAGATACTTTGCTGGAGCGTGATGGCTTCTCAATACCGCATAAACTAATACTAAAAGAACCAGTTTTTCTTGCACCTCTCGTGGATATATCACCAGAACTTCGACATCCTTTGACAAATTCAACAGTGCTATATCATTTATCCCTTTTATCATCATCCAACAACACTTCAATTCTAAAATATTTGCCTCTTCCTCGTAACCGACATATCATTTTTGAGAGAGGTGGCGCAAGGCAGATCATGGCAGTGCTCAATTTTCCATTTGACTACTTTTCCAAGGACAATGAACATGTAGATATTGATATAGTGAATACTGTAAAGGAAATGATACATGACGGTGCTACAATTATAGAAATTACCAGTTGTTCCTTCATTGGCACATCGATATCAGAAGAGGAAGAAAGTCGACGAATAATTTATCCTATCAAAGTCATACGCGAAGCTAGGATAGATGTTTGCATCAGCGTGAATACGTTTCGTGCTGAGATTGCGCGCCGAGCTGTAGAAGCAGGTGCCGACATAGTTAATGACGTATCCGGTGGCTCTTTAGATCCTTCTATGTTCCAAACGGTGGCAGAGTTGAATGTTCCAATAGTGATCCGCAGTTCTTCTAGTGCAGCGCAAACAACGCTCACTCCGACACAGGTGAAAGAAAATACATTTGGTACTTTATGCGAGAGTATGGTGAAATGTGTTAAGCAAGCGATACATGCAGGTATTAAGCGATGGAATATAATTCTTGATCCTAGTTTTGGTACTAACAAGACGCATGAAGACGATCTTGACCTTATCTGTCGATTGCCAGATCTCGTTCATCATCAAGCATTTCGAAATATACCCTTTCTCTTTGAACCATTAGCCTCAAGAATAATCGACTCATCCAATGGTGTGGAAAAAGAAACTACATGCATTTGGAGCACCGCAAGTGCATTGGCAGTTTGCGTTGTTTTTGGAGCGGATATCATTCGAGTTCATCATTTAAAAGAAATGGCCCAAGTGATCAAGGTCGCAGATGCAATTCGAATACAACAATATAAGAAAAACCTATTATAACACTAATACTCTATGCCTGTTGACAAAATGAATCATATGACGCTGTTTTATCAGGTTAATTACTCTAATATTACTATCGAAATTTTAATAAAATGCAGGTGGAAGGAAGTCGTATAATTCTTGAATAGAAAGTGATGTTGACCTGCACTTTTCATCCTTCGATAGAAGACAGTCGAAGGGAGGTACCCATGTGGAAAAAAGGCCATCTAAAGAGCTTTGTTAGGTGAGCGTTCGTCGACGAAATTATGCGCGCATTTGTGAGCTGTTTTTAAAGACTTTCTTCACTCTGTTCGTACACCGACATGCTCTCTTCACATCAGTATCGAAGGATTTTTTTGTGACTTTTCTTACTGGAAACACTAGAGATCTTTTAGCAGTGAAGTTAAGGTGCACCTTGTGCAAAATTCAAGCAAATTTTTTTTTCGTTCTTTTTCATATACAGTAAAACCTCTCTAAAGTGAACACCAATGGGACCGGCCAAAAAGCGTTCATTATCGGAGGTGTTCATTATAGAGAGGTGTCACCTTACGTGAAAGCTCACACACACACACACACACACACACACACATATATATATATATATAGTGTAGGTATAAGGAGTGTCACAGACGGATAAGTACGCATCTTTTTTATTAGAGTTCTCCCTAATTACGCGATGCATAAAATAATAAAGTGTCGCTTCCATAAATTGAGTTGATGTAAAATTAACGACCGTTTTTATCGATTCTAGAAGCACCAAAACCGATCGTTAGTTTTGCATGAACCCATTACTGAAGATTTTAATCTAATTTCTACGAGAATAATCATTAATCGTCGTTCACTTTTCTCTCTGTGAATCGTTGAATATAGTGAAATAAGTGGTATATCTATTTAAATAAAAAGTGAGTGTCATTCTGGCTGTTGAATACATCATTATATGTAAGTTCAATCAGTTCTTTGTTGATTGCATTTTCCTTGTTTTTTATGTGTAAGATATCAATTGGATGTAAACTGTCAATTAGTATTGTTCGTCTATTCGAAATATTTGATGAATTTTGTTGTAATAATTAGACTGTCAGTGAGTTTTGTTAGCATTGATTCAAAAAAAACTACAATAGACTATTTTATCTCCGGTTTCTTTCATTCAAACGCATATACTTTTTTGTACATTCGTTCATTATAGAGAGGTCTTCTCCACTTTGGGACCGAAAAAAAGCGTTCACTGTTCAGAGTTGGGAGGTGTTCATTATATAGAGGTGTTCATTAAGGGAGGTTTTACTGTATATGAAAAAAAACGAAAAAAAATTTGCTTGAGTTTTGCACAAGGTGCACCTTAACAAGTGCAAATCAATATGTGTTTAGATTTTAATTTTAATTTATATATTATATGGGTTTATATCAGATGTTTTATATTATTAAAAAACAATATTTTATTTCTTTTCTTTCATTTATTTCTTTTCATATGATCAGTATTTTAATTGTAATGTACTGCTACGCATGTTTTTTTTTAAAACTTAATGAAAGTCGGAAAAACTTGGCGATCTCTCAAAGTGATTCCGTCACTACAGTGTTTCTTGTTTATAAAACCAAGGTAAGTTTTTTTCAGAAGTTTGTTTTATTGCCAACATCGATTATCATTAGGACGAAAACTTCTATATATAAATTTTCTTCCTCACGCTTATCGTTGAACTAAGTTTTCTATTTCTTTCCATAGCTCTCGATATACAGTTCCGTTTTTTGTGATTCCGTCACGCACCTATATTTCGATAAGAAAACTAACAAAGAAGCATGATATACTTACGAAATTTTGTGCACATGTAGAAGATTTAGACCGATATAATTTATGAACATTTCGTGAGTTATTCGACTTCTGCGGATTTAGATATTGAAAAATCAATGTGAAAAAATGTGATTCTGTCACGTTTGGACAGGCCGGCTTGAGATTATTCCACGACAGTTCAATAGGACTGAGATTACAGTATAGTGTGGCAAGACGAAATATTTATACACTAGATCGTTTACCAATATGATCACTCTATTTCACAAAACATTGAAAGATAGAAGAGTTTGCAAAGCCCGGAATAGGCGTGAAAATGGCTTCAAAGGTATTCTTCAGGCGGAAAATTTGCATCCAATAGTTGGAATAATTGAGCTTTAATAAAATTTTCTATCTTTCAACCATTACTGAAATCGTTCCTTGCTCGAAGCACGTTTTCGGAATAATTGATCCTTTCGTTAGTTTGTTGTGCCAAATGACGTTATCTAAACAAATACCAATTCTCTCTTGTCCGCCTCTGCAAAAAGTGTAAAAAATATTCATGGATATAAAACGGCTAAAAATACGTCAACTTATCGATTTCTTTTTATAACGTTGCGCAATTCGAATTTAACCAGCATCTTCAGTGTGTGTGGGGTGGGAAGATACAGGTTTTATGCATTTGAAAGTTCATTTACCAGTTAATTTTCAAAACGATCGTTTCCTAGATTGTTTAAAGTATTTTTCGGCTAATTGAGAGAACTTTTTATAGGAGAAAGTTCAATCAAAGATTCGCGTAAAGCATTGTATAAAGATGTCGCTATATTATTTGATCGTTTTTTCGAGCTAATCATAAAATACAAACAACTATCTCTTTAGCCTAATTTCATTTTAATGATCTCTTCAATGTAAATCACCTCAGCTATATTTTACTGATCCTTTCACATTTTATTTCGGGCAAGCAAAATGTGATTTCTGAAATCTAATGAAAGATTCACTTTCTTCATTTTTTAGCTCCTTAACGATATCAATCTGAAATTCCAGTGACACTCTGTTCTCTAGATCATCGTGCCGCTTAAAATGAACTTTGGATGCTGTATCTAGAAAAAAAATAATAAAAACTTCAAGCAACTCAAGAATATGATGCTCCTTAAGGTCTCACCATATTAAAAACAACAAATAGTGGCACGAGAAAGTATGGTTTCGAATGATATCACGATTTACTTCTTCCTCTACCTTTTTTTATCTGGAGTTCAAATGCATCTTTTAAATTCTCGAGATTTATTCAAGTTTCATCACGATAGTACAAATAAACATTTGCTTTCCTAAACTTTTCTAGGATTCGAAAATATGTCGCTCCTCCTATAATGACTCATGTAAAAAAAAGCTGTGAAAATCGTGTCATTTAAATCGATTTGTCATAAACGCTATGATTTTTAGAATTTTTTCCGCGTTGGAAAAGCATGTGAATTCAAAGCAATTTTTATGTTTGATTTTTACTGATATATGAAACCAAGGCGAAAAATTATCAAATGCTGCGCAGCGTTTTTCTTTCTTTCTTGTTTAAATGTGGATAATATTTCACTTAAGCTTTTCATTTTTTATATAATGTACTTGTCGAACAAATTGGAAAATTTTTATTGTGGTCAGGCAATCTTTTCAGCAAATTCTCCGAACTCGGGTGTATTTTTTTTAAACTAGTCTATGAAACTCAAGTCTAATTAAATCTTTCCCTTGCTCAGACAAAACAATATTCGGACGATCAAAATACACTGAAACGAAAAGACTTAACTTGTAAAGTATTTAAATGAAAAATATCGTACTTCTCCTCAGAGGAAACTATACTTCAAGAACAAGATGCTCGTATATTATATATTGGGTACATGGTGGCGCGACTAATAAGATTTTTTACAGATGTTTGTTTTGTTTTGTTTTCCCCTTCTATCTTTTGTTGTTCCTCTGATATTTTCCTTATTTCTTTACATTTCAAATGGTGTAACTCATGCATTAATCTCATGTAACGGTGAATTTTGATTCCTCAGAAAGTCAAATAAAATAAGTATAAAATAAATTCCCAGAATGTTCAAATATAATACCCAGGTTATTATGACACGGTCGGTTCCGGCCGGTTAAGTTCGTTTTCCGACAATTTCCTTGCCGCCGGATTCCGACGGGAAGTTCAAACGTAGGTTCCAGTCATTTCCCGACCGTTTCCTGCAAACTTCGAGCTAGAAACGGTCAGGAACTGATCGGATATTTCCTGTGCAAATCCGGCGGCAAGGAACCTGCCGGAACTTGCAGGAATCGGCGAAAACTGTGCCGGAATCGAGAAGAGCTGTACCGGAACCGACTCAAATTTCAACGGATCCAGTCGCCGGAATGATCGACCTGGGATGGAATCAAACAAAGGATCGTAGAAATTCANTAAAGGGATTCGGCCCCATGGCTTATTAGGCATGAGTTATGGCTATTTTCCTGAATCTTCAACCCATCTGCAGTTATTCGTGGCAGAGTTAAATGGCGAGCTTTTGATCTGAAATTTTGACTGGAGGTAGATCTTACTATGACTAAGATGCTCTAAAAATTTCAGTTCGGTCTTATATTTCTCTCGCGAAATATTGGATCACAAACAATTGGTCGTTCATCACACACTTGTCTCAAAAATCGAGTTTACCCGAGACTGGAATATTTCGAGAAAGAAATATAAGACCGAACTGAAATTTTTAGAGCATCTTAGTCATAGTAAGATCTACCTCCAGTCAAAATTTCAGATCAAAAGCTCGCCATTTAACTCTGCCACGAATAACTGCAGATGGGTTGAAGATTCAGGAAAATAGCCATAACTCATGCCTAATAAGCCATGGGGCCGAATCCCTTTAGGGTTTTCTTAGTCTCATTGACGCCCGCTCATGACTTAAATATGGGATCGATCGGCGTCCGACAGTTGGATATGTCCCCTCGTCAGTTAAGTTTATGTTCATACAGATGATATAATTGCATCTTCTAATAATAATCTTCACTGCATTCATGTCTAAAAAATTTAGCCGATGGATCATCGTCAAAAAGCGTAGCTAAGAAAAAGGCCATTTTGCCCTTGTCTCAAATGAATGACCATCAGGATTTATGGAACTAGTGTCAGTAAGAGATTGGTGGATAATGAGTGCAGGAATGATAAGCACACGACTGCTTACACCCATAATATCGCCGAAAACAACCAAACAGGGTAAATATGACTCGATATAGATAAAGGATTGCACCCCATGCTATATGTTCTCGACTTTCGCTCTAATCCTCATTCGAAATCTTGCGCGCTCAGCTTTTGTTGTGCTCACCGTCTCGGCTATTCAAGTCTAAATACAAACAGCTACATTTCAAGGACATTAAATTTGTTTAAATATTTCTAAATATTGTCTTCTGAATCAGCGTCTAATTATCCATCAAACCATATATAAACGAACGAGAAAAAAAATGCACTGCCATTTTTCTTTTTCTGCGTCTTTCATTTTCACTGATTTAAATAATAAGCAGTGCTCGTCCGAAGAATCACCCAGTTTTCGCCGACCAAAGTCGTGTTTATGATACTACTGGAAACAAGAAAATTCACTTTTCTTGGGCATGTCTCTATTTCATGAGAGATTGAGTAGATTTGTGTTTCTTTTACTCCTTCGTATTTTGGAAACACGCAGCCTCCTTTATCCTTCTTATCATAATCGTCATGTCTTATGAGCGAGAGATATATGTTGTAATTTTAGATCATATAATAAGAGTAACGATGGCATCTTGTAATCGTAAAGTCGAAGCTGACTTCGTGATTATAGGTGGAGGTACAGCTGGATGTGTCATAGCGACTCGATTAGCCGAATATGGCTTTGAAACCTTATTGATTTCGAGCGGCTTGAATGATACAGAAAATCCTCTTATGAAGCAAAGCTCTCTATACCGTCAAGTCTCCCAGTCGCCTCAATTCAAACATTATCTTGTACCAGATGCGTCATGTAGTCTAAATAATACAAGCGTCGACATTACTGTGATAAATACTCTTGGAGGAAGTAGCATTAATGGTGGGGGTATGGAACGAATGACAGCAAACGAATGGAATAGCTTTGTTCATGCTACTGGAGATGAATCTTTTGATTGCCGCATGATGTCAAAATATTATAAAATGACAGAAAACTACACAACAAATGATCCATCTTTTATTGCCGAAAATCATGGCCATAATGGTCCTATTAAAATAACAAAGCCTTATAACTTCGAATTCTACAATGTATGGGAAAGTGTTGCCCGAGAAATCGGCGAAACATTTAGCAATGATTTTGTAGATGGTCTAGATTATGGGTTTTCATTTGAAGCTTCTTCATTTACAAATGGAGAGAGAAGCTGGAGTGGTAATGCTTATCTCGTCCCTGCTCTCGCTAAATATTCAAATCTAAAAATAATAACGGGTGCTACTGTCATCAAGTTAGATGTCGATGAAGAGACGAAACAAATTAAAAATGTTGTGTTTATTTCGTGCGATGATCTATTTAGTGCTACTGCGAGGAAGGAATACATTCTTTCTGCCGGTACATTTTATAGCCCTCATCTTTTAATGTTATCTGGTGTTGGCGATCCTGATACTTTGCAACAACATAGAATACCGATAAAACATGAACTAAGACAAGTAGGAAAGAATTTAATGGATAATGGAGCCGTAGTGATCGAATACAAATCAACAAATTTATCTTTCGAGTCATGTAAACCAATGGCACTAATCAACAGCCAATCACTCACCACAGATACAAATCCTGACATATTCTTTTTTCTACAACCGAATGAAAAAACCAAACATGTGGATGCGGTTATATTTAATGCTTCCCCGAAATCAACTATTGGTTCTGTATCACTATACAATTCCAATCCATTGATATTGCCCAAAATAACTCTAAATTACTTAAAGGATCAAAACGACGTTGCAACTTTTATTAATGGTATTAAGTATGTTCAACGGATCATGTCTACTGGTACGATTATGAGTTATTTACAGCTGACTGAGATTCCGCCGATAACAAAAGAAATGGATTTACCTACATATGTTAGAAACAAGTTAATGGGAGCTGCCCATTTTGTTGGGACATGTTCAATGGGACGAAACGCACAAAATTCAGTAGTCGATAATTATTTTAAGGTGCATGGAATGGGTAATCTTCGAATAGTGGATGGTTCAGTATTTCCTGCAGGTCTCGCATCGAAAACAGGACCTTGTCATACAATATATGCTTTAGCAGAAAAGGCAGCTGATTTAATACGCCAAGAATATTCATCAAATAACTTATAACAGTCACACTATTATTGGAGGGGTAATAGCAAAAAATTTATGTGACGAAGACACTGCTTTGTTGTGAAAAGCTTGAATAATCTTTCTCGCTACAGGGCGATGAAGAGAAGAATATTATAACCCTGTGTGCTATCTGATTTTACTTCAAATAATAATAGAATAACAACTTCACTTGTCGCAAAAACTTATTTTCCATTCTGTAAAAAACGTCCACTTCCTGGCAAACTTATATGAAATTTAAAATCATACCGAAAAACCCTGAAACGTCTCCAAAATAATTTCTAATCTTTGACAATTTTGTATACAATACCTTCCTGCTCTCTTTGTTCTCGAAAACTTTTCGTGTAATCTCTTATGATAAGCCTTAAAGAACGTTCATTTTATATATTCTTAAAGAGAAAAAGAAGCTCTATCTCTCTACACTATTCGATTGAACTTCACTTAAGAGAATAATATTAAACTATTTATAAAATCTATTTCGGCTGGTTGTATCAGATCATATTTTTATCGTTCAGTATATGTAGTAGTTGAAGTTTGAGCAACCCGCATAGAAAAATAGAGCTTTCNTAGTCATAGTAAGATCTATCTCCAGACAAAATTTCAGATTAAAAGCTCACCATTTAACTCTCCCGCGAATACCTGCAGATGGGTCGAAGATTCCGTAAGATAGCCATAACTCCTGTCTAATAAGCCATGGGGCCGAATCCCTTTAGGGTTTTCTTAGCCTCATTGAGGCTCACTCATGGCTTAAATATGGGATCGATCGGCGTCCGACAGTTGGATATGTTCCCTCGTCAGTTAAGTTTTTGCTCATACAGACGATATAACTGCATCTTCAAATAATAGTCTCCACAGCATTCATGTCTAAAAAATTTAGCCGATGGATCATCGTCAAAAAGTGTAGCTAAGAAAAAAGCCATTTTGCCCTTATCTCAAATGAATGACCATGAGGATTTATCGAACTAGTGCCAGTAAGAGATTGGTGAATAATGAGTGCAGGAATGATAAGCACACGACTGATTACATCCATAATATCACCGAAAAGAACCAAACAGGGTAAATATGACTCGATATAGATAAAGGATTGCACCCATGCTATATTGTCTTGACTTTCGCTTTAATCGTCACTCGAAGTCTTGCGCGCTCAGCTGTTGTTGTGCTCATTGTCTCAACTATCCAAGTCTAAATACAAATAGCTAAATTTCAAGGACATTAAATTTGTTTAAGTTTTTCTAAATATTGTCTTCTAAATCAGCGTCTCATTTTCCATGAAACCATATATATGTCGTGTCGAAGTTACACTCTGTGTCGAAGTTATAACTTCGGCACAGAGTGTAACTTCTGCACGACATATAAACAAACGAGGAAAAAATGTACTGCCATTTTTCTTTTTCTTCGCCTTTCATTTTCACTTATTTAAATAACAAGCAGTGCTCGTCCGAAGAATCACCCAGTTTTTGCTGACCAAAGTCGTGTTTATGATACTACTCGAAACAAGAAAATTCACTTTTCTTGGGCATGTCTCTATTTCACGAGGAATTGAGTAGACTTGTGTTTCTTTTACTTCTTCGTATTTTGGAAATACGCAGCCTCCTTTATCCTTATCATAATTGTGATGCCTTCTGAGCGAGAGATATATGTTATAATTTTAGATCATATAATAAGAACAACGATGGCACCTTGTGATCGTAAAGTCGAAGCTGACTTCGTGATTATAGGTGGAGGTACAGCTGGATGTGTCATAGCGACTCGATTAGCCGAATATGGCTTTGAAACTTTATTGATTTCGAGCGGTTTGAATGATACAGAAAATCCTCTTATGAAGCAAAGCTCTCTATACCATCAAGTCTCCCAGTCGCCTCAATTCAATCATTATCTTGTACCAGATGCGTCATGTAGTCTAAATAATACAAGTATCGATATTACTGTGATAAATACTCTTGGAGGAAGTAGCATTAATGGTGGGGGTATGGAACGAATGACAGCAAATGAATGGAATAGCTTTGTTCATGCTACTGGAGATGAATCTTTTGATTGCCGCGTCATGTCAAAATATTATAAAATGACAGAAAACTACACAACAAATGATCCATCTTTTATTGCCGAAAATCATGGTCATACTGGCCCTATTAAAATAACAAAGCCTTATAACGTCGAATTCTACAATGTATGGGAAAATGTTGCCCGAGAAATCGGCGAGACATTTAGCAATGATTTTGTAGATGGTCTAGATTATGGGTTTTCATTTGAAGCTTCTTCATTTACAAATGGAGAGAGAAGCTGGAGTGGTAATGCTTATCTCGTCCCTGCTCTCGCTAAATATTCAAATCTAAAAATAATAACGGGTNTAATCTCTTATGATAAGCCTTAAAGAACGTTCATTTTATATATTCTTAAAGAGAAAAAGAAGCTCTATCTCTCTACACTATTCGATTGAACTTCACTTAAGAGAATAATATTAAACTATTTATAAAATCTATTTCGGCTGGTTGTATCAGATCATATTTTTATCGTTCAGTATATGTAGTAGTTGAAGTTTGAGCAACCCGCATAGAAAAATAGAGCTTTCTTTTTTCTATAAGACTATCTAAAAGAAAGTTACTTTAACCTTATTATACGGTATTAAAATCTCACTGTCCGTGCCTTTAATGTACCATAGGTACATACTGGACAATAAAGACGTAGGATATCCTAGCCCCCGATTCGAGCATTTCTAGTTCTACTTCGATCATGTAAACTTTCCAAGTCGAACTCGACGAGCTCTACAATTTTGTAATAGAATGGTTTTTCATCAGACCTCTCCTCTCCCTCCTTCTCTAAAATGCCAAAAGTCGCCCCGAATCTTCTAGTTTTTAGTTTCCATCGTTCCGTACATGTATAAGTCGAAAAGACCATTCGAGTATTGAACTTTTAAACTTCTGAAATTTAGAACACGAAGCTTCGACTTCTTGATTTATAAGTTTAGAATTCGAGAGGGCAGCTTAATACTCCGGTCGAATTAACGATTTCTACACTACTCAACTTATCGTAATATTGTTCGAATATTTTAATGATCTGCCTATATTTTAGATAAAATAAATAAATTGATTAATCTACCTATCATGAATTGTCAATATCTACTTAGTGATATTACTTTACATGAAGATGATCTGATGGATGAAGCCAAAGATCAATTCGATTTCCATACGACGATACTCAATTTGTTTGAACTCAATCGACAAGTCGTAGTTGAAAATGATCAGGTGACAGATATCGGTCGGCATCTTTTATTATCAAAGCTCGAGAAAGCTCATACAACTTTTAAGGAAGTGCTCAACTATATAGTAAGCCAAAATGTGCTGTCTAAGTGTAGCTTACCGGAATTTGGGCCTATATTCGTATGTGGACTTCCACGTACGGGTTCAACATTACTCTACAATTTGCTTGCGTGCGATCCAAACTGTCGCGCACCATTTACTACTGACATGAGCGGCGAATGTCTTCCGCCCATTTCACGTTCGAACACAGAAGAACATGAGCGACGAAAATCGATGTTGGCACAAGAACAGCAGTTCTGTGAAAATCTATTGGATCGACAAAGCATGCTGGCTGCATCTCATCCGAGCTATCTTATCGAAGAAGATTTTCTTATTTTAGAGCATGCAGGTATCTTTATTCCAGTAATGCGAATCAGTCCTACTTATCGCACTTTGGTCGATACATTTTACTATAATGAAATTTATAGAGGTGCAGTTTACAAGTATCATAAGCTATTCCTGAGTATGCTCAATTCAGTAGATAAGCCTTGTTCTCATTGGCTCGTAAAAGCACCCGAACATTCTTTTTCTTTAAACATAATCCTTCGGCAGTATACAAAGTCAGCATTCATTATGACACATCGAAAACTTGAAGATGTTTTACCGTCACATAATCGGTCAGCATGGGCCTTTGAAAATATTTATTTTGATAAAAATGACCAAACAAAAAAAGATCTAATCACAATGAATGGGCTCCGCTATATAGACAAAATGATCGACCATATAATGAAATTTCGACTTGATCGTATCAAAAAAGATGAAGAACTTGATAAAAATATTTTCGACGTTCTCTATGATGATTTAATTAAGGAACCGATTGTCACTGTACGTCGAATCTATACTCATTTTGGTCTTCGTTGGACACAAGAATTTGAAACGGCAATGTACACATGGTTACGTGACAATCCTCAAGGCAAACAAGGACGCCATACTTATAATCTCAGTGACATTGGACTCACCCGTGAAGATATCGAGAGTCGTTTTGCTCCTTACATACATTTATTTCTCCGCTCATAAACTCCATTTCACTTTTCTTCACATGATGAAAATCACAGGTTCTTCGAGCAACGTNGTCTTCGTTGGACACAAGAATTTGAAACGGCAATGTACACATGGTTACGTGACAATCCTCAAGGCAAACAAGGACGCCATACTTATAATCTCAGTGACATTGGACTCACCCGTGAAGATATCGAGAGTCGTTTTGCTCCTTACATACATTTATTTCTCCGCTCATAAACTCCATTTCACTTTTCTTCACATGATGAAAATCACAGGTTCTTCGAGCAACGTAGATTCTAGTGTATTTCAAGCGTCTAATCTATTATACTTTCACACACGTATAACTCGAAACTTGAGGGTCTAGGAGAATGGCGCGGCTAATATGAATATCAATGGCTTCCAGCGGTATATCTTTTCTGGATATAATACTGAATTGGACAGATTTGCATGTGGAAAATCATGTGCTTGAGATAAAGAAAATTCCTGCACCAGCTAAAACATTTCTTTACGACGAAACGAAAGCGATCTATGATTAAAATCAATAATTGTATCCATTATAAGTAACATATCCTTGCTCAGAAATATATGAAAAGTTTGCTTCAGTCAAATGAAGCATTCATTAACATGGAATCGAGCTAGATAGAAATGGAGCATTTTGCTGCGAGGATATGTTAAGATTTGACTGAATAGCAACCTAGAACTTACTTTTTTTTTTCGGAGAATTTCGAACAGAAGAGATTGGAATTGCTGAGAGAAAATAGGATTGTGGATGTGCGACAGATGACAATTAGTTAATGGCAGTAAATGAGACTTAGTTTAAGTGGAGTTTTTCTTGCAAAAAAAAATGACAGAGAGAGTGAATAATACTATGGTTTAAAGTTTCGAAAACATTCTTCTAGTTGTCGAAAAGTTTACAGGAATTTCTTCCAGCACTTCTTTTCGGAGTTTGAAAACAATCCATAAAGAATTGGAGAATCTTTTAAAAAACATTGAAAATGACTTAAGAAGTATTTTAAAATACTTTTCTAGTTTTGACAAAAATTTTCAAAAGTTTTCGCTGCCTCTTAGATGCTCTGGCTACCAAATTGTTCATGCGGTGGATTTCAAATACTCGAATAGACAGTTGAATACTTGAATTCAAGTTTCAAGTTCAACATTGCTGTCTAAAAAGTTATGAGCGTTTTTATCTGTGATTTCAGATTTTGGAAAATATTGTCAATAGCTTAAAAACAGAGAATTCCGCTTTGGATGCACTGATTTGTGTGGGAAATACATCCGTTACGCTGTAGTTTTGGAATGTTTAAATCGAAATCTGAAATTATCTTCATGGTGCAAGTTGAGTTTTCATATCAGATCTAGAGTCAATCCTGCTTTGGACTAGTTCAAAGTAAGATCTTAGANGTCTTCGTTGGACACAAGAATTTGAAACGGCAATGTACACATGGTTACGTGACAATCCTCAAGGCAAACAAGGACGCCATACTTATAATCTCAGTGACATTGGACTCACCCGTGAAGATATTGGGAGTCGTTATGCTCCTTACATACATTTATTTCTCCGCTCATAAACTCCATTTCACTTTTCTTCACATGATGAAAATCACAGATTCTTCGAGCAACGTAGATTCTGGTGTATTTCAAGCGTCTAATCTATTATACTTTCATACACGTATAACTCGAAACTTGAGGGTGTAGGAGAATGTTGCGGTTAATATGAATATCAATGGCTTCCAGCAGTATATCTTTTCTTGATATAATATTGAGTTGGACAGATTTGCATGTGGAAAATCATGTCCTTGAGATAAAGAAAACTCGTACACCAACTAAAACATTTCTTTAAGACGAAATGGAAGCGATCTATGATTAAAATCAATAGTTGTATCCATTATAAGTAACATATCCTTGCTCAGAAATATGTGAAAAGTTTGCTTCAGTCAAATGAAGCATTCATTAACATGGATTCGAGCTAGATGGAAATGAAGCATTTTGCTACGAAGATATGTTAAGATTTGGCTGAATAGCAACCTAGAACTTACATTTTTTTCGGAGAATTTCGAACAGAAGTGATTGGAATTGCTGAGAGGAAATAGAATTATGGGTGTGCGACAGATGACAATTAGCTAATGGCAGTAAATAAGACTTAGTTTAAGTGGAGTTTTTCTTGCAAAAAAATGACAGAGAGACTGAATAATACTATAGTTTAAAGTTTCGAAAACATTCCTCTAGTTGTCGAAAAGTTTACAGGAATATCTTCCAGCACTTTTTTCAGAGTTTGAAAACAATCCATAAAGGATTGGAGAATCTTTTAGGAAACATTGAAAATTTCTTAAGAAGTATTTTAAAATACGTTTCTAGTTTTCAAAAAAATTTCCAAAAGTTTTCGCTGCCTCGTAGATTTTTTGGCTGCCAAATTGTTCATGAAGTGGATATCAAATACTCGAATAGACAGTTGAATACTTGAATTCAAGTTTCGAGTTCAACATTGCTGTGGTCATTCTAAGATCTTACTTTGAACTAGTCCAAAGCAGGATTGACTCTAGATCTGAGATGAAAACTCAACTTGCACCATGAAGATGATTTCAGGTTTCGATTTACACATTCGAAAACTACATCGTAATGGATGTATTTTCGGCACAAACCAATGCGTTCTGAGAAAAGTTGCCCGTCTAAAAAGTTATAAGCGTTTTTATCTGTGATTTCAGATTTTGGAAAATATTGTCAATAGCTTAAAAACAGAGAATTCCGCTTTGGATGCACTGATTTGTGTGGGAAATACATCCATTACGCTGTAGTTTTCGAATGTGTAAATCGAAATCTGAAATTATCCTCATGGCGCAAGTTGAGTTTTCATCTCAGATCTAGAGTCAATCCTGCTTTGGACTAGTTCAAAGTAAGATCTTAGAATGGCCTATGACATATGTATGATCTCTCTGCACATCTGCTTTATTTCTTTTCTTTCTTCTTCGTCTATGTGCTCATGTTCACAATTGACCTTGGGCTGAGAGATTCTTTTTTTTCTTATGATCACAAGGAGAAGTTCCTAGTGATTTCTCCTTTGTCTTGAGTTGTACATGAACTCGTCGTTTTTTTTGTCGAATAAAAATAGAGAATCTTGCACATGACTCACTATTTAGTATTCTTAACTCCCCGCTTCATCCATTCAATGGCCATGTCAACCCTATGTCGGTCTTCCTTAGGAGCTATAGAAGCATCATGAAAAGTTTAGTGGCGGTAGCTATCATAGGGATTGAACACATAGTGTATAGATAGAGAACCGTTCTTCTTTGTTTATATATATATATTGAGACAGAGAGAAAGAGATTCTGGAAAAGAATGGCCGAGGTCGATGAATCTAATAGTTTCGAACAGTCTGATCCGATGATTACTAACGACCATAATCCAATATTCCTAAAAAGAACACTCATGAAATAGATAGTGAGAGTCATTTTGCTGATGAAATTGAACGCGATTTGGTTACCAGAAATCCTATAGAATTATAGCATAAGGAAAAAAGTCTTGTACATTTATGATTTTCTCGATAAACTTTATTCTTTATTTTACAACCTTCTACATAACAGAGAAGAAAATCTTGACAATACCAAAGTCTTTTTCTATTAATATTTGTTAAAAGTTATATAAAGAATATATTCTAAATCAAATGAGGAAGAATAATGTCATAGTTTACTCAATGAAAACGAATGAATTGATTATACATCTGTATTAAAAGAATACTCATTGAATAATGAAAATATAAAAAGGTATAGGTCAACCATTATTTATGTAATTCGTTAGAAAGTAGACTTCTGATCAAGTTTATATTTGAATATAAATTGAAGTTTTTAGATGATTTACAACTTTCAAAGATTCCGTGTTCTAACATATGATAGACATATGTCATTTCATCGTTGTTTTTGGTTAATTTTCGTCGAGTCAAATATTTGTATAGATTTTTTAATATTAATACATTCACCGCGATTAAGTTTTCATGAAGGAAATGGTTGACATCTATTTCTGTCAATAGTTATCTTCTAACTAATTCATGTGGCGACCTTTTCACTATCTTTTTCATATCATGACATCATCAATGAGCAAAAGCTCCAGTTTTTGTCTACTTATTCTTATATCCGTGGTTTGATATATAAAAGCAATCGAAGTTTCCGAGTAGTTCACATATCTTTGGAAGAAATCGATGCAGAAGAGACTGATAGTTCACTTGCTGAAGCGAGTATTTTCGATCACGATCTAGACAGTATGCGGCCATGAATCTGAAAACTCTCACGAAGAAATGTCTGGTGACGAGGCACATTCAAACGTCTAGGATGGAATAGAACCAGAATAAAATTACAGAATTTAACTTTTGTTTTAGAGGATAATACAGTCAATGTTATCGATATTTCATCGCAGACGAAGTCATTAATCTTGTGGTTGATGAAACTTATCGATGTGTGGAGTAGTATTTGCATGCCTATAAGATTGGCAGATGGTGCGAATATCTTGAATGGAAAGCAACTACCCATGAAGAAATACTCAAGTTCTTTACGATCATTATCGAGATGGGGATGATAAAAATGTCAGAGATGAAACATTACTGGAGCATTACTCATTTGGGGGTTATTCGAAGCGCATGTCGAGAGAGAAAGGCGCAAATTACTCCTCGTGTTCTGACATTTTTTGGACAACGCTGACAATAATTCGAACTAAGGAAGGCTAATTCAAGTTGTAACCAACCTCAGATTTACTGACAGAGGAATGTTAATCAGTGTATATGCCTAGTTCAGTTATTAGTTTTGATGAAAGTATGATACCATAGCGAAGCAGGCGTTTGTTCAGCCAATATATATTTGATAAAGCATACAAGTACAGAATCAAGATGATCAAACCAGCGGCTGTCAATGGACACACTTGGAATTATGTAATCTATACTGACGAGTACGAATCGATGGTAGGTGTTGGACATACTTAAGCAATAGTAATGAACTTATTAGATGATTTGGACAGATGTTATTGAACCGAAGTAGCCAAGAACTACTTTACGACTGTTTCTCTTGCCAAAGAACTGTTGGAACATGATATGTATCGTATCGGAAGACTAAGAAGGAATCTGTTTGGTCTGAAAGACAAGTTTTTCAGGAAGAGTTTAATCGCGGTGAAGTTTATGCGTTTCGGAATAAAGAAGAAACAAAATTGATTGTGTGAAAATGTAACCAAGGCGTCTTGATAATATCTGCAACCCTATAATATTCCGAAAATGTAGCAAACAGTCGAAACACGAATTTTCAAAATGAGTGCATCTTGAAGTCGCAAGTCGTATTAGGTTACAACAAAGAAAGACAAGACACTAGTTTATCTGATCAACTATCATCATACTATACGCGTCTTAGGAAGTCAATAAAATAATATCGCAAAGTCACATCTGAACTAGCTTTTGGGACGGCACTGATAAATAGTTATTTGATGTACATGGAAAGCTACACAGGTAGCAAAGTGATTGTTCTGAAGTTTGTAGAAAAGCTTGTTCGCCCTTTATTGCTTGTTATTGTCAGTTGAGAAGTTAAAGCCTAGTCCATGAAAACAATCAGTAAGTTCTTCGAATTCGAAGTAAAAACTCGAAGAAGAAGGAGAATCTATATACAGTGCGGGTAGACGATGCCCTGGCTGTTATCAAATAAAGGGAAGAGCATACTAGTCAAGAGAAGTAAGCTATGTGGCAACAAAGAAGGTTAAAACTTTCTGATCTAACTATGGTAAATATTTATGTCGTAAGTATTTTAATGATGAGGATGATGCTATAAGGTGAAAGAGTCAAATAAAGCATTCGAAACAGCACAAATGACTCCTTATATTTAATCTCTTGCTTAAAAAGCAAAAGAAAGTGATTTTCAATACACTTTCTCGTTAGAACAGCGTGGTCCGCCGCTAGGCCACATCGTAGCGAATCTGTTAAAAATTTTTGTCTGTCTATAGAGTTGAAAATAATGCTGATTTTCTGTAACTCCATGATATTCTAAAGGGCATGATGAATATATAGCCCATGGCTTTCTCCTTGAAAATAAGACTGCTAATGATTTTTCTTCACTTAAGATAATTAACGCTAGCTCTATAATTCATCAACACGTCGTCAAAACCGGACAGATCCAGAATATATGCGTGAGAAAGATTCGATGGTATTTATTCATTAGTAAAAACTGTTATGGTGAACGCTCTTGCTCAGAAAACTAGAGAAAAAGCTAGTTATTTGGTGTGAAGAGTGACAGAAAAGTTAATAAATTACTACTCGTTTGTATTATTGCCTCTACTGAAAGTACGTTATTTATCATAGGGAACGAGTGTGACCAAGCATCAAAAATTCTTCGCGTGCCTTGGCATCCGTGAGGAAGATGCCAATCATAGCTGATGTTGTTGTGCGTGTATTGACTTTTTCTGCTCCACGCATGACCATGCACATATGTACACACTCGACAATAACAGCAACACCTCGTGGTTGAATAGCTTCGTCGATAGCTTCTGCGATTTGTCGCGTCAATCGTTCTTGCACTAGAAATAAGCCACGTAAAATGAGCTGTTTGTAATTATTATCTAAGTAAGCTAACCTTGAAGACGACGACTAAAGATCTCGACGATTCTAGATAAAACATAATAAGCATTTCCTTTTTAGGCTTAATTAAATAACTTACCTCGCAACTTTACTCAATCCAATGACTCGATCTTTCGGTAGATAGCCAACTGATACTTTACCAAAAAAGGGTACCCTATACAGAACTCGAATAGTAGAAAATATAAGTTTAGATAAACTTACAGATGATGTTCGCAAAGTGAATAAATATCAATGTCTTTAATAAGCACCATATTTTCACACTGTTCATCAAATATTGCNTGAATCTTCACCAATGCTATTCAGAATATCTGTATAGGCTGCTGATAAAGATATCACACGTTGTTCATGTATTGGATCCGTATCGGCGTCTCGTAGTGCCACATCATTAAGTATGATAGACTGGCGTCGAGGTGCTAGATCACCTAAACATTTCACATTGTTAACAATCCCTCTTAAAACTCTTATGGAATTCATATCTTGAGGGGACTATAGGTATGAGTATGAGCGAATATCCTATTGTCTCCTCACATCTATGTTGTAACGACTCCATATGCTGAGAGGAAAAAATTGGACTTACAATCAGCGTTGCCAAGTGCTTTTGATTGTCCGTATTCTTATGCTTCTTTTTTAATAATACTTAATTAATTTTGATTCGAGCTGAATTACAAATTCGATTAAACTCTTGGATACCCTGCGTGGAATCTTATGAACATCAGTTATCTAAACTAGAGCTATTGCAACTAATAATTTACCTTTCGTACGTCTAGCTTATTATACTTTCAAATTTTAAATTAATTTTCTTATTATATTGAAATTGAAACACGCTTTTGTGGGAAAATGATAATGACTGCTTTTAATATGAAACTAATATACAGAAAGTTGTTCTAGGCGACAAAAACAAACTATTCAAAACTTTTTAAAAATATTTCTGAATTTTTCACCATGACAGTTGACATCCCTGCTTGCAATAGAACAACATATAAAGCATCAAAGTAGCTATAAGTACCTAGAAGTTATTTAAACTATCTGGAAGTAGCTGAAAGCCTGTGAAAATAGTCCTCAGTACTTAAAAATAAAATCAAAATACTATAGTATATGACGAAATACTTGATAATCAAGTCAAAGTTTGTTATAATATAGCGAAATATTTTAAGATACTTCTACATACTCGAAACTCTCCTGTTATAAGAATATATAGCATTATGACATGGCTCAAACTGATCTGAAGTTGTTGAAAGCATCTATAAGATCGCTTGAAGCACTATGAAGCAACATGATGAATGTCAAATCTAAAAGTCTGTCTTTTCTCCTTCCGTACATGTGTCGACAACCATACCCGTCTTCCACTAGCATATCTCTGAAAAAAATATTGAAGCACCAACGAAGCATAGGCGAAGCATTGCAAAGTACAAGTGGGCTACAGACATCAGCATCTCATCATACTTTATTAGTACTTTAGTGGATCCAGTAATTTGTATTACAAATCAATCTCGGACAAGACAGAATATCACTTTTGCTCGTTGGACACTTCTTATAGTGGCTTTTTTCTCCATCTCATTAAGATATTCAATACAATTTATTGATAAGCGAAAAACTAACCGTTTTGAACCAGGTCATTTTTATCAGTTTCTTGATTCATTTTTCGTGCGAGTAAAGTTGACATAGTTGTCTTTTGGTAATATCAGCTCTAAAAAGAAGAAAGTAAAAAATGAAATATAGGTAAGTATGAGAAGCTATTTTTATTTTTATAGAGAAAACAATATCGTACAAAGGCTATGAACTGTAACTACTATTGAGAAGAATAGGAGTTGAACAATGATGTAGAAGTTTATGTATTTTGTTTACATCATACGGACTCAGATGACTACATTAATATAGCGATCCATATCTGACTCGGTCTTTCCTTTAGCTCATAAATTAGGTGTGTTGTCTTTTTATATAAATGTGACAAAAATAGTTTACAGCTAGCCCTTCAATTAATTAGCAAAAATGTGAGCGTGAGTTAGAGATGCACCAGTTCTAGTTAGCTAGGTGCTGATTAGAGAAATATATTAGCAAAGCTAATGGTATGAAAAGATGGGTTTAGTCCAATCATGAGTGGTCTCCCTGTACAGGTAGGTTTCGGTCAAGAGTGATAGTGTAACTTTGACTTAAACATTAGAATTAAACTGGCAGTTCAGTTCTAGTCATGACTGAATACTCACTGATGACTAAAACTGACATACGCTCAAGATGAAGAGAACAGCACTATATTGTGACGTTTTCGATGGAATAGGTACATGCACTGAATTAAGGACAAACAACATGCGTAGAGCCCATGTCATTATTTTCATCGCACATATAACTAATCGACAGATCAGGAATGCCGAATGTACATTTGCCGAGGGATCATCTGTTTCTCGAGAAGATAAGCGTGACGATGAGGATGAAAATGTAGATGAAGATGAAGATGGACTGCGATCGACAATGTTCGACACAGCTTTGGCACGCACAAAGCATTCTCAGATGCATCCCCATCACCCCCACCGTCAACTATATCGTACTTTTCAACCATTGAGTCTCCATATCTGAATATTCACTAACACTTGTATCCATATCCCTGGAGATAAAAGTCAAAGATACAAGAGACAATGCATCTCCGCCAGATTACACATCTTGCGGCATGGTCAAGAAAGGCAACAGTTCATAAAGTGTACTCGTTTTCAAATAGAAGATGCATATTCGGAATATGCTGTATAAATTTTTTTTTTTTTCGAAAATCGACCATGTCTCTCCAAAATTGCATCTCCTAGGTCTATAAAGGAATACAGTCTCGTGACTTGCGGGACATCTGACAACACTCACTCCTATAAGTTCTTTTGCTTCGATAAAAACGATTCCACCTGGAGTTTTTTTGTTCTTGTTTCGGACAGAAAACTATAAACTCAGTCGACGATGATATCGTGACACGAGATCGTAATCGATCTAGCTAATGGCGGATAAGTATCAACGAATCTAACAAATAACCAAAAACAAGCCTATTATATCAAATCATTGATAAATAATATAAAAAAGATGATATATATATATATATATTGGAGTTTTGCAAAGGCAAACAAAGAGACAACAATCGCAAACGAAAAAAGACGAAAATAGCTCTGTATATATCATAGAGACAGACACAGAAAGGGAGACAACAAAAAGAACAAACAAAGAAAATAATAATATATGAAGAGAAAAGCTTTCAGCGCAATCCCTAACGGGACAAAAATGTGAAACACGATAGAGCTGGAAGAACCGCAATACAGAGCACGGCGAGTTTATCTCTCACTCTGCATTCGCATTTATTTAATGTAAACCTACACTATTGAAAATAGCATGCCATTCTGAATAATCATGTCCGATATTTTCTGTTAAGTTTTTGCCTCACGGACTACGATATACATAGGGTGATCAAAAAGTTCTCGGAACATTCCTTTTTTTATTGAATAAATGATGTTGACAAAAAACTTATCTTATTAAGTGTTCGAAGTAGTCTCCCTGATTCGTTATACAAAGTCTCATTCGATCAATCCACTTGTGAAATGTTTTTTGATATTCATCTGTTGGTATGACATGAAGCTCCTTGGTTACAGCTTTTTGTAATGATTTTGAATCAGAATAAGTACCAAGTTGACGCTTCAAATAACCAAAAATCTGCTGGCGCCAGATCAGGAGAATAAGGTGGATGACGAATAACGGTGACTCCTTTTTCTTGAAGATATATTTTAATGTCATTTGTTTGGTGAGGTCTGGCGTAATCATGATGCAGCTTGATTGCGTGTAGACCAGATTTCGGTCTTCTCCGTTTAATGTTGTTGAACAAATATTTTAAGCAATTATTTTTGTAATAATCACCAGTTATTGAATTTCCACTTTCAACCATATGAATGAATTCTGGTCCCGTTGCTCGAAAGAAGATCACAAACATGTTCTTGCGATCATATTGACTGCATCTAACCACTGTTGTTGGAGCTTAATCTTGAGCATACCATGTCATATTTGATTGTTTCGAAGTAATAGAACGATGATAAATCCATGTTTCATCAGCACTGACAATATCACATAATCGCGATTGACCGGATTCTAATTTGGCCAGATTTGCTCGACAGATTTCCACACGCTGCTTTTTGCATTGTTCATTCAGTTCATGTGGAACCCATCGTGCACATAACTTTTTCAATTTCAGTTCATCATGAATAATACCACAAATGGCTCCATATGAAACACCAAGTTCAAATGCAAGATAGCGAATACTAATATGTGGATTTTCTTCAATTAACGTGCGAACAGCTTCAATATTTGTATCAGCAATGCTGGTTACGGGTCGACCAATTCTTGGATCATCTTCTAATGAAGTTCTTCCTTGTCTAAATCGTTGCATCCATTCGGCGACCGTCTGTAGGACACGTAACCTTCACCCCATGCATCACACAACTCCACATGAATTTGCCTTGCTGTATAGTCGAGTTTGACTCTTGTTAAGATATGGTACCGAACATGAATTTTATTCATATGAAAATAATGCATATACGAACAATGAATTCTATTTTTACCCAAAGAAACTAACCAGTGTTTAATTTCATAAATCGATAGACTAGACCTGACGCCATCTACATAAAAAACAACCACCTCTTTATCATCTCAAACGGTAAGGATGGAAGCCCGTTCCGAGAACTTTTTGATCACCCTATGTATGATAGTTCGTAATGCATTCTCAATCAACAACGACGGTCCGTAACGTGTTACACGTATGTCAGTAGCGGTGTGTGAGGTAGAAGATAGTGGCTGAAAAATGAATCACTTCTCTTTCCCCAAACTCTTCAACATTCTCCTTCGAATCGTATTTCACAACAACGAACAAGTCGTCAGTTTCATAGCAAATACGTTCATGATAGCATATAGTTCTTATTGCAACAAGAGTATCAAAACCTTGAGTCGTAACTGACAATAACTTGTGCTCGATGTACTTTGGCTTGTGTTCACAGTAGAGTGCCATACTAAGCTTATTTAGCATTGACTACTCGATACTATACTGTTTGTACCAAACGAGCTTTCACCTATGGACCTCTCGGCGATGGTCTGTGGTGGTGGGGGAGGGGGAGGGGGGGAGTCAAAATTTCTACCCTTGAACACTCTCCTTAAAATCATGTTCCACAAAACGAGAAGAATATGATAACTGAAGATCACCATGGATGCATGGTGATCAAGAAGATATATTCCACAGGCAAGAATGAAACAAAATATACATAGCGATCAGAAAGGAATGTAGAAGAAGAAAGAAAAATATATGCATACACATATGTAACGGGTGGCCCATAAAGAATGACCCTCTCAGCATTTTGCATTTTTCTCACCTATAATTCAAGTTAGAAAAAATTATTTTTTTATAGAAAGATTCCTCATCAAATTCTCTACACGAGTAGATATTTTTATTATTTTAAATAGTTTCCTTTATTTTGTGACATGCGATACAATCGATTGGTCCAAGAAGCACAACTTTCAAACACAACTTCTTTTCGAATTTTTTTACCGCACGTTTTAGTTCTTGAATCATGGTTGGTTTAGATGTCACTTTATTCCAGTCGATAACTTTCACAAATTCATCCCAAATACAGTAGTCCAATGGATTAAGATCGGGACTATTTGGTGCAGTGGCGGAGCCAGGGGGGCCAGAGGGGGCTCAAGGCCCCCCCCCTAGCGAAATTTTTGAAAAAAGTATTTTTTTTCCTGTTAATAATAATAATGGTTTAGCTGATATAAAGTATGCTTTAAACTCATTATTGACTGGTTTTACTAATCTTTAGCATCAAATATTCTAAAATNAGATACTCTGTGACTAGCTGCTATCGGCGAAAGTATGAGGTATGTATGAAGTGAATTATAAGTCAAAATCACGGTAAATATGATGAACAAAGTGGCACAATTTCTTCGAATTTATGTGTATAGATTATTAGGGGGAAAAATTTATTTTATATATGGACGTAGACTGTTGTTCACGAGAACGAAACTCTGAATATGAAATATTATGTTTTTTCAACAGGTTTGTATTTATCTATTATTGAACTTATATTCTGATCAGACTCGATAAAGAAAAACCTTTATATCGTATCAGTAACAATTTTATCAACTGAAAACTTGTAGTATTTATGGCATGTCGCTCCAAATAAGAGAACTTACAAATTGCATAGGGCCGTCAATAAGTTCTCGCAGTTCTCTATATCTCTGTCGAATAGTTATATTTGCTCCCTTTTTGACATAATATATTCGAGTTAGTTGTTGTGATATTATGTAGAAAGTTTCGTCATTCTAGCTGATACTCTTGATATCCCATTGTGATAAATATTGAATAAAAAATGGCTCCTTGGTTATTGACATTTGCCATGAGATACAGCTGGTTACTAGCTAGCCTCTCTTTTATTCGTTTTATGACCTACTATACTGAATGCTTAGTTCAAGGTGAGTATACTGCGCTAGCCGTAACTTCATTTGATTGTGTTGAGACAAGATAGTAACGCTACTTATTATGTCGTTTAGAAACCATTAATTAGCTGTATTCATAAAGATACGGTTTTATCACGATAACTTTTGTCTCTGTGAACTTTCATGCATTCAACCAGTATAAACAGCTTTCTCAGCTGTTTAACAAAGTAGCACAAAAAGAAAATCGGTCTAATTGACATAAACTGCTAACGCATCTTACGGTAGTTCGTAGTATAGGGAGCAAAAATCGTTTTTGAAGAATTAGTTTCTCTGTTCTCTCGCAACGATAGTGTGATATTGAATTCAAATATTGCAATATTAATATTGGGTCCGATGTATGAGAATGATATCACGCTAAGTCTGTTTACTTTTTGACGGATTCAGTAAGATTTCGTGACCGAAAAGATGAATAAAATTTCGTCGATAACCAAGGAGCCATTTTTTTATTCGATATCTACCTCAATGGAATATCAAGAGAATCAGCTAGAATGATGAAATTTTGTACATAATATTATTACAACAACTAACTCGAATGTATGATGTAAAAGAAGGGAGCAAATATAATTATTCGACAGAGATATAGAGAACTGCGAGAACTTATTGACGACCCCATGTGTTTAAATTGGCTGTAAAACATAGTTGTCTTCCAACGAAATGAAATGATATTGTAATATATATTTTCAATTGCATGTTTTGAATGTTAAATGCAAATAGTTTCTCTAAATACTCTTTATATTTCTGAAAGACTAAATTAACACTGAAGACGTTGATGTCAATGAGAGTATGTTCTGCATAATCCCTTCTTTGCAACAATAGTAATCCAAATGCATTGTTGAACGATACAAAAATAATACTGAAATTACATAATAATCCATCATATTTCATGGATGTTCGTCAAAATAAAAGGACATATGTGAATATTGCAATGCAGTACCTGCTTGTGTACCATCTGAAGAGATCAACTATCAATTTAACATCTTATATTTGGACCAGAATGGATTTTTTTTTATCAATCGAAAACTTACTTCTGGCTATGATCATGCAGTATTTATGAAGTATCTAGAGCTGATGCATCTTGAGCTAGACAGTTCTTGGTAAAAATCTGAGCTGTCGATAGTCTTTTTAACAGTTAGCTTCACAGTAAACGTCAAAATATACTTCGATGTGCCCAAGTCCAGAACTGGAACTGACCGATCTTCACCGGTTTTTGCCAGTATATAGTTTGTGAAGAATAGTCTTAAACCCCTCACTCGTAGGTTCTTTTCAAATCTGAGTCTCACAGCTTTTGAAATATGCAGTTTTCTTCGGAGCAAAACAGATTACAAGCAGATTCTGAGTTATTTTATTAAAATATTAGTAATAACTCTAGTTGTACCAAAAACAAATGATATTTTTCGAAATCCATCGTTTTAGTTGATAGTGAAGGACTTAAAACACCGCTCCACTTTTACCGGTTTTTGCTGATTTTTATAGACCTGCAAGGTTTCTTCAACCGGCTAATCACTGATCAGACTACACCAGTTCGAAATTTTTTAGGTTTCGGATTTCTGGGTGGTTTTAAACGCTAAAATATTCGATTTTTGTTTCAAAATGCTACTAGTATGAAGTTTTGAGTATGCATGTTCTCAAACATCTTCTTCTAACTTATTCTTAATCATAAAGTCCAAAAAGTCAACTCTGATGAATTCCACTGACAGTCTTTAGATACGTTTTGAAAACGATCTTGATTTTTCAACACTCAAAAGGGCGCAGAAATCTCAGACGCACGGCGAGGTCAAAGTCAAATATATATTTTGTAAATGGAATTCAAGGCTTTCGCGTAAAAGTACGATTTGCTTAAATTATCTTAAAAATAAATCTTTTGGCCATTGTGCAGTATACGCGATTCAATGAAAAACCCTCATGTCGGAAAGAAACTGTATTATTTTAAAATACTTCGAAGTACTCTTACTGCCTGACTTTTCAAAAGCATGATTTTCTTAAAAAGAGACTTAAAAAAACTTATTGCGTCTACTGAAAGGAGAGTATACACAGAGTTCAAGTTAAAGTTCGTTCATCGGTTCACGTACTTTGCACTGATAGAATAACAATCTATTACTGTTTATGAAGAAGGTTTGACCGAAGGGTAATGGAGGTCGAGGATCTCGATTTGAAGGGTAGATGTAACGGGTTAGTAAGTTTGTATGATGAAGAGAGAATTCATGGCAGATACAATATTTTCGATATATATAAAATGTTCGTAAAGACGTTCCTTTGATTCCTCTGTATATTCGTGGAGATATGTTGAAGGATTATAGCATATACAACTTCTGCTCATTTGGGGCAGCCATGGCATCAAATGGTTCACACTACCAGCCGTGAATAATCCTGCAATTGTAAGAAAAAACCATCCGCAGTTCTGTTCCCATCTAATAAACCGTTTGAACGAATCAATTCATTGTTGTTTCACTGTTGAATGGTAAAGAAATGTTGCATGACACCAAGGATCCATCGATGAGTTTGTAGTCGTAAATATACCACGATTACGCAGTCATGTGCAAAGAAATGTGGGACGAACATTGGGAAAAACATGGATCATTTATTGGTGTTTCCTATTTCCCAGCAAGACGGACGTCACCATAGAGACGATCATAAAAATTTGTTAGATCAACGAAGGAAAACCATAAATCAACTGTAAATGAACAATTATAAAATGAAATATATCTTTTTTAGTCGGAAGAGATTTCAAATAATTGTATGTCAACTTAGGAGCTGAGCCAATCCTTGCAAGTATATAATTCACCGGAGATATTTCGTTCATTGGATAATTACTAAAATGATTCGATATATAGAATGAAACTGATGATATTCTTAATATTGTAATATTTGTATACAAGGATATCTATGAGAAACATTTTGTAAATTGATATTCTAATCGATATATTGAATTCGATGATTTCGTTGATCACCAACACAACGATTTCTAAACGAATGAAAACCTAGGCTCGACAAATAATTTAATTGGTTTGCATCAGCTATAGTGGATTGATTAGATCCGACTAAACAAGAGAAACCGTTGGAATTTCCTGCAATATATTGATGATTATTCCAATCAACACACAGAATAAATAGTCTTGCTTATCCAATGCAGTTCTATCAATGCAATTCAGATCAAATGTTTAATCGGCGGAAGTATTCTTCCAAGAAGTGAACCTAGTTGACATGATTGGATTCGATTGTTTCCACAACCTTCAACAAATAATGTTGAATTGGTTTCACCAAGGAAGATTTCTCGAGGATTTCGATATGTTGTTGATGTTGATCCTGCAACAAGGATCAAATGAGTCCAGTGATTGACTAACGATTTTGAAATTATTTGACGTCGTTCAGATAATGAATAGTGGAGAATTTGATTTTCACTGATGAAAATGTCACACCATTGTTCACACAGATTCAGTCGTAGAATTGACGTAAAATCCGTGGAGTTCGCTGCGATTTCGCTTACAATGCTCGTCAATGATGAGTAAAATGTGTCTACGTACATCGTTTCTTCTCTTGTTACAAATAAACTTGACGAATTCGATAAGCGTAGATAAATATTTTGAATTAACTCAAATTTCTTTGAAGAAAAACGAGAATTTCTCGATTCAGAATTTAAATTGAATTATTCTTCTTATTGATGAATAGATCAAACAGACTTGATCCAATGAGAGTCTGATTCATAATTGTGGTCCCATCTAAATTCCATGTCGGTTTAGAAGAAAACATTGATTGATTGTATGAATAATCCGAGTTTACGAGAAAATCACATTATGATAATTCAATTAGTATTCGTAGGAGTTATTCCCTCTACTAGACGGAGAGTATACACAGAATTTGAGTTGAAGTTCGTTCATTTGTCCATTTGTCCGTTCGCGTACTTTATAGTGTAAAGTTTACAATTGATGAAAAAACAATATATATTGCTAACTAAGACAGTTCGACCGAAGGGTTTTCGGGGTCGAGGAATTCGAATCTGAGGTTAGTTATTTCCTGTTCATTAAGCTTCGACTTCTTCTTTTCTCTTTTCAAAAGAGATATTTTGCTGTATCTTTGCTACAATCTTCTATAGTAAGTAGTGAGCTGAACAATGTTCCTGGGTGTGATGCGTGCGAAGGTAGCATTTTAGGAGTTTACACAAAAGATTTAGTATATCTTACATTATGATAGTTATCACTCAAGAAATTGGAGCAAGTGGTATGAACTTACAATCATTATTACATTTTTAGGTGTGACATGTCAGATTTTTCGATAGGATTTTATCAGGAAATATGAGGCAAAAAGATGTGCCCATCAGGGTAACTCCATCTTGTTAGCTACAGAAATATCGACTATACAAATAGAATTCTAAACATGTGAAGTACTAGAATGAGTGTTCTTGTCAAGGGAAATCATAAATAAAACTTCTTATCTAGTTTTTTTTCTGCTAACGAAATAAGTGGAAGATCGCCAATTTGGAAGCAACAATGAAAATAAACGTAGTTATTCACTTTAAAAGCTAATCAAGAGTGAAAGGCATAACGGAGACAGTTATGGGAACGGCTAGCCGTTTGCCGAATAAGAGTTTAGGAAGCAAAATGAGCATGAGTAAAAGATTGAGACATGTTATCAAATAATTGGATCATTTAAATGGCGTAAATCTTATTTCTTTGATCGAGGAATATGAGAGATCGTATAATTTTCTTTCAGTAGAGGGCCAGCGGCTACGGCGCCGCGTTACTCATGTAGAAACCTTAAAATTAAATAGAAAGTGAGTAAACTAGACAACATTGGATAGAAAATAGTTGGCACTGTCTAATGAGGATGTGGATTATAAAATCAGTAAATTTGACGAAATCCGGATGGGGGTAGGCCTTGAAGGTCGAGCTGCAAAAAGATTTCTGCGAGATTATGTTAGCAACGTGGAATTTTTTACGTATATTAAATTTACAGTTGAGATAAGTAGTATGAATGCTCTTTTACGAAATTGACTGTTTTTATCGATTATCTTGCATCTTTCGAAGGAGAGATAAGAATAAATGAAAGAAATTTAACTTTGAATATAGAGAATGTCAAAAATAGAGAAAAGAGAAATTTCGCCGTCCATGCATGACGTATATGACAGAAAAGCGAAAGAAAAACATCGTACACATATGGTTGAAAAGGAAATAAGTCTATATAATCATACTTGTTGAAGATCTTAATAGATTTAAAACTATATTGGATCGATTTGAACGTTTCCCTATATGTGCCTATATCCACTAAAATGTGGAGAAAAAACAGCTATTACGACTCAAAGAGTGACTGTTGGCCGGTGATATTTTTAGGTTTTGACTACGCCACTATGGCCTATCCAATGGCATATGAATGATTGAAATCAGCGTGTACCACCTAAATAGTGTTGTTCGTTAGTTTCAAAACTGAATTTTTTTCAGATAGTCGTACACTTAAGGTTTTTATCTGACACTACTAATGGTAATAATAAAAGCTCATTATGTATGTGTATGAGAGCGATTGTATTTTGTTGATTGTTGATGGAGTTTGGAATTGCGAAAATATTATGTTACTATTGGTTGACATCTATACGTAATCCATGTAGTATAGCAAATGCGAATCAGTCAGAGATTAACTTAATCAAGTTGGATAACGGAATATTGAGATAGTTTTCAAATAGAATTGTGCCTGTAAGAAGAGAGAGAGAAACATTAAAAACTCGAAATCGCAATGAACATTTCAAACCAGTTTATGTTCGTTGCAAGTGATAAATACGACACTGAGAGAGACGTTAGGTAGACTGAGTCATTATTGTCACGATCTTTTTCGCATGCGCTGTACGCATGCTATTTGTCCCTACTTCGGTGCATTTTTGTGTACTTTGGCATTATCCTTCTTTCCTTTCTATCGAGAGAGGGGTATATAAACGTGTGTTCTGTATTAGAACGATGCGATTGATGATAGGAAGAAATAAAGAAAGACATGATTCCATCGGGATAAACATCTCTTCCATCAGAAATCGTCAGAATTATGTATAGGGTGATTTTGCTATTCATATTAGTCGATGAATTCAAGTACGGTACTGGGAATATGACGTCGGCCAAACTGAATTCCGATTTTGTCTACAAGATGTACATATATAATGTTCAGTGTGTATTTGCATGCCTGTCTGTTTCACTGTGCCGGATTGATGGTTGAAGATCAGATACAGAATATCCTAGATTGAGGACTATGGAATGTTAAAGATAAGTGAGAAATGTAAATGGGAGGTTATGAAGCTGTTGAACTTGATGTTCAGTGTCTATACGCCTGTTTGTCAATATAATTAGAAACGTCTGATGTCGTTAATTGAAGGTAAGTAATGGCGGTACAGTGTGGTGAGGCTCTTGCTACAGTTTAACGTATAATGTGGTGTTTCACAGGAACGCATTTGTAAAAGACATATTATGAGTATTAATCTAGGGAGCGTCGAAAAGCTATTTTCTCCATTTGAATCTTACAATCTGAACTTGCAATTATCTATTCGCTATGCCCATAACTGAAAAAGTCAAAGAATCCAGTTTTCAATAGCTTGAAACTCGTTACATTAAATTTACGCCATATATGGTGTACTCTGTCGTATATGCTTTTCAAACGTTGAAAGACTTTGCTTCAGCCTGGAACTATTCAATTTTTATTTGCTTGTCTTTGATACAACTAATCCTCTATTAAATTGTGTTTGTGTTTATTCTTTGAAACGCGTATTTAGTTCTCTATATGGGTTTCTGGCATGCTAACTGTATGACCACATATTTATCTAATATAACGAATCGTAATGCTTCGTTTCGTCTTTGTTTCGATGTCAGAAATGAATATAAATGTTTGTAAAAGAAACAGTTATGAGTATTTATTAGTGTATCAAATCAACAAACGATCACCAATATACATCCGAGCAGACAAGAATTGCCAAAAACGCGTGAAACTTTTTTTACTGTTCAAAGTATTGGCGTGAAAACGCGCAATTACCCGAAATTTTGAGTAAAATCATACTGATTAGAAACAATCCGCGCATACACGGCAACAAAATAAATATTTTACACGTGTACACAGACAGAAATTGTTGGACACTAAGATTCTCCAGGTTTGCGTGAAAAAAGTTGAGATGTTGGTGTTTACACGGGCACTTATTTTTACACGCGTGTAATCATTGAAAAGTAACAGTTTTTAAGCGTGAACACACGTCTTTCCGAATTCTCGTCTGCTTGGGCATTGACATTATAGAACTGGTATGGAACTGCAGCGAACGTGTTGTTCAATAAGTGAAAGCGTTTAGATGACGACAGTTTTCAAATACTACACGTGTAGTAAGGTAAACAAATTCGTGATGAAACTCTAAATTCGTTGAAACACTATGAAATCTTGACCGAGAATGATAACAAAAGCTCTCACAGGTAATATATAATTTTTGATGGATTCTCATCGTGTGATATAGTGATGTCATGGTTCATGACTCATGAGATGGGACATCTCCCTCGTATAGATGTCCTGGATGTCTTGTCTTCTTTGGAAATATCCTAACGGAATATTCCATGTAGTCATAGTCCATATGGAATATTCACAGGATATTTCCCATGTCTATCCATATATATATAGTCACAGTTCTTTCTATATTATTCGGTTCAGTTTTCCGTTTATTTCCAAATAAACTTGTATGCAATTCAAGACGTAACACATGGATATCACAACAACACACACATAGTTTACGTGTCAACGCTTCAAAATTATAATTAGCCGATATATCCACGTCAAGTATTAGGTGTCGGTAAGTTTCATAGAGAAAATAAGCGTGAAATCGCCTTAAAATTGCAAATTTGTACTGAAAACACGCACATTTGGAAAAGTCAGCGTATACACAGCAATAAAGTCGGTTTTCTTTGCAATTATACACAAAGAAATGATGGAGATTATACTTTTGCGTGCTTGTTCGCCGAAAACAATCGGAATCTCCGTGCTTTCATGCTTATGTTTTTCTACACGCTGGTAATCACTCAAAAAACGATGTTTCTTGGCGTGAAAACGCGCTTTGGGCGATTCTTGTCTGCTTGGGTGCACCAAACTATACGACCTCCGACATTTGATAGATCAACTTTGTAAATCGGCTAATTTTTTTCTTGACCTCTGAACCTTAGCTCTAGGCTATTCAGCTCTGATAGCTGATTTTTGGATTACTGGCCTCTAATCTATGATCCTGACATAAACGCACAGAAATCAATTGTTTCATGCATGCTTCTTCTTAGTCGAGGAAATTTATTTTAATCAAATGTCAATTTCTATTTTGATAAATGGAAATAATGTTATCATATGTAACCTCTACTTATCCACAGAGTTGAAAATCTTTCTTTTCGAATGAAGTTTATTTTTCGATGTGAAATGCAATTCGATTGATAAATAATTACAGAAAACAACAACTACAACAACAACAAAACTATGCAAAAATTGTTTATGAAAACTTCTGAATAATATTCTGAGTTTTTAAACTATGTATTCGTCTATAATAAGATACAATTAATGGCTGGTTATTTATTTGGTATTGATGAGCATTTCTCATTATATCATGAGCCTGTTGAATATTTGTAAAAGATAAAAATGCATATCTAAATTTAAAAGAAAAGAAAGTCTTTCGTATTAATTCTTTGAAAAATAAATTTTACCCAAATAAAAATTTATCAATAGATTTTGTTTTTTTGATAGATCTTGCTGGGATATATTTCATTTGATGAGAATTAAAAAATATCTTTAATTCATTTTCGGAAACATTTTCAGGTATTTGTTTTATAACAAGATCCCATTGATCATTTAATTTATTTTCGTTTAAAAGGTCAGAAATATTTTTAACATGTTCAATTTGAGTATTTGATCCAAATAATGAAGAATTAACACATCGTTTTCGATTAAAGTCAGCTTGATGTTTCGTACGATGAAATATAAATGCGTAATTAAAATATGGTGGTAATCGACTTTGGTTTAATATAATTTTAATTGAACCGATAAAATAAGATCGAAGTTGATCTTTTGTTATTTGTTTATTTAAATTTGATATATATAAAATTTTCTGGATATCAATTTCACTTTGATTGTTATTCTTTTTTGATATAACGTTATCTTGATTTAGTGTTTCCTATTTATAAAGAAAGTGTCAGATTAAACAATTTCACTTTATCTTACTGCTAATTTTGTTTGACTATCGTTTGTTGAATAAATTTGTTCATTTACTAATTCTTGATTTAATAAATCAGATTGATTATCATCCATAAAGATATCATCAAACGAATTTTTCGAAGAAAATAATTCATTAAAATGTATTTCATTATCAAATTGCGAAAATTCCATTATATCGATTGATTCACCAAAAATATCCGTTAAGGAATTTTCTCTAAAAAATCATTTTATGTATTTCTTATCATCAATGTTTTAACTGAAAACTAGCATCTCACCGTCCGGTTTTAATTAAAAAAGGAAAAAAGAGGAATATAGTTTGGACTACTAAAATAGCAAGAAATAATTGTAAACGGAAGCGTCAGAAATTGATAAATTCCAATTTTGTTGATTTTCGTCTAGTATCAACTGAAAAAGCTTGCAAAACAAAATAACTTTGTATTGTTTAATGGTTATGTTCACTGAGTTCTTCTTTCACAGATCTTGAAAACGAGGAAATTGCGAAAACGAAAATCAAAGAAAACATCGCTGGAATGCTTTCTTTTGTATAATGTCTTTAATTCAATATACACACAGACGATCAGGATTTCTCACAGTATCAAAGCTGAGTCAATGTTAAAAATACACTGCATGATAAGAAGGAACTAGCATGGAAGAAAAGGACTAGTGTTTTACTGGTTAAAGTAGCTCGATCAGTTGTGTGATGAGCGATTATGCTGTACAGACAAAGACAAAAACATAAGGGAGCATGCGCTGGGTTTATACCGCAGAATATTATAGAGAAAATATGTTTGATTAGAAACTTCACAGATTTTTCTCACAAGTATCTGTGAGAAGCGTTCAGGACACATGTCCGGTAGTGGCGTAGTCAGAATTTCGCCAGTGGTATGACAATGTCTTACAAAATTTTTGCAATCTACCATATCACTTGATGATTGAGAATCAATCTTTAGTCTCTCAAGTTTTTGTTTTTCCTTATTAACAAAAATGGAGCCTGTATCTATTTTCATTCTCTCGCAACCTCCATGGTTTGCTGATAAATCACGACTTTAACGAAAATATTGAATGCATCATGCCCAAGAAATCTCTCTTTTGTTGAAAGTATATTGCATTAAAGGTTTCAGAAAAGAACCTGATACAACTTTCGTTGTTTTTTACGACTTTATCGCGATTGAAAGTCTGTTTTTATGAGCGATGAAGTCTTGACGTACTCAGCGGGCTACGAAGCGATTTTCAAAATAGAGGTTGTGCTATAACGTTCTGAGAAAAGCAGCTCCAGATTTTCTATACGATATGAATTGAAAGAAGCCTAAAACATAGTATATCACATTTTAATGCTTTTACGGATAAGCCCCATCTTTCAAATAAGAATTTCGATCTGTAAGCACTGTTCTTGAAACAGATTATCATTTCTTTACTTGAGCATTGGCCAGCGAGAATCAAAAGCTAGTGTTGTGATCTTATCCAATGCTAATAGATAATAATCAATTATTAGATTAGCTATACTACTCAAGAGATATTACTAATTAACAGAGATTTATTCGACATTGGATAATATAACTAGTTCGATCATGTAAAACAACACAGTATTGATTTCTAAGTACGATGAAACCAAGCTCCTTAATATGTTCGATAAAACGCACTTAAATTAAGTAGATTATGATGTAACGAAGATATGATAGACAAAGTCTTCTCCGAAACTCGAAAGGACTACCTAACTATTATACATTTCCGTCCATCCATAGTTGACATTTAAAGAACTGCGCTTAAGATCGAGATTTTTGTGTCAATTCGCTCTTGTCAAAGCTTTATAGTGAATTATATAAAGATATTTTCTTGTATCATCGCATTGAACAACCATATTTTCGCTTGCTCAGCTCATACAAAGTCTAAATGGTAGTTTTCCTAGTATTCTTTTAATTTTATCTATTTCATATGAGTTTTATTGATACGATTATAAATCTATCAAAATACTCCATTTAAACTGTCCTAAAGGGCTTTGAAGAATGTATCAAAAAATACAAAAGTCTCGATAGGAATGACTATCGTTCCATTTTCCGTTACAATATCTTATAACTATACGGAAATTTTTTAAGCCTTTTATCGACTTTTTTTAATGTTAAAAACCCCCTTATTGTCTTCAAGTAAAGCTGTAGTTTTTCATTTGTCCTCAGAACTACTGGTTTTTCTAAAGAAAGAAGAGGACCTTTCTCAAAAAAAAGAGACTGAAAAGAAGAATTTCAAGACGGAAAGACGAAAAGGAAGAAAAAGAGCGGAGTGGTAAGCCAGATTGAAACTTACTCATTAACATCATTAGGAAACGATGTATTTTTATCTGATGTGGAATCTTCACCTGAAAAAATAAATTAAAAGAATATTTTGAAATAAAAAGAAAATACTTTGATGACTATTGATTTGAAGATATTTTTGGATATATTTTTCAATATTGCTATTATTAAATAAATTAAAATCGATTAATTCTTCTTTATTTAAATTCGAAGATAATTGACAATGGTATGATAAAAAAGAATTTCTTGTCAAGTGATCATAAAACCAATTTGGTAACGCAAAATGAATTGATTCCGATAAAATTTCATTTTGAGTGAAGCTTTGTGAAAGAATTCCAGATGAGAAAATAAGAATNGTATATCACATTTTAATGCTTTTACGGATAAGCCCCATCTTTCAAATAAGAATTTCGATCTGTAAGCACTGTTCTTGAAACAGATTATCATTTCTTTACTTGAGCATTGGCCAGCGATAATCAAAAGCTAGTGTTGTGATCTTATCCAATGCTAATAGATAATAATCAATTATTAGATTAGCTATACTACTCAAGAGATATTACTAATTAAAAGAGATTTATTCGACATTAGATAGCTCCTTACTATGTTCGATAAAACGCACTTAAATTAAGTAGATTGTAATGTAACGAAGATGTGATAGACAAAACCTTCTCCGAAACTCGAAAGGACAACCTAACTATTGTACATTTCCATCCATCCATAGTTGATATTTAAAGAACTGCGCTTAAGATCGAAATTTTTGTGTCAATTCGCAATTGTCAAAGCTTTATAGTGAATTATATAAAAATATTTTCTTGTATCATCGCATTGAACAACCATATTTTCGCTTGCTCAGCTCATACAAAGCTTACATGGCAGTTTTCCTAGTATTCTTTTAATTTTATCTATTTCATATGAGTTTTGTTGGTACGATTATAAATCTATCAAAATACTCCATTTAAACTGTCCTAAACGGCTTTGAAGAATCTACCAAAAAATACAAAAGTCTCGATAGGAATGACTATCGTTCTCTTTTCCGTTACAATATCTTATATCTATACCGAAATTTTTCAAGCCTTTTATCGACTTTTCTAATGTTAAAAACCTCTTTATTGTTTTCAAGTAAAGCTGTAGTTTTTTTATTTGCCCTCAGAACTACTGGTTTTCCTAAAGAAAGAAGTGGACCTTTCTCAAAAAAAGAGACTGAAAAGAAGAATTTCAAGACGAAAAGGTAGAAAAAGAGCGGAGTGATAAGCCAGATTGAAACTTACTCATTAACATCATTAGGAAACGGTGTATCTTTATCTGATGTGGAATCTTCACCTGAAAAAATAGATTAAAAAAATATTTAAAAAAAAAAGAAAATACTTTGATGACTATTGATTTGAAGATATTTTTGGATATACTTTTCAATATTGCTATTATTAAATAAATTAAAATCGATTAATTCTTCTTTACTTAAATTCGAAGATAATTGAAAATGATATGATAAAAAAGAATTGCTTGTCAAGTGATCATAAAACCAATTTGGTAACGCAAAATGAATTGATTCCGATAAAATTTCATTTTGAGTAAAACTTTGTGAAAGAATTCCAGACGATAAAATAAGAATTTCATTTGGGTGTTGAACAACTTTATTATATTTAATATTATATTTATTAAATAATAAAGGGTCGACTAAAATATCAGTATGTTCAAAACATATTGACGAATAATTTTCTTTCATAAGATGTTCTAATTTAATTCTTTCATTAAATGGTATTATATACCAATAACGGATCCCACCTTGATAATGATAGTTAAATTGATAAAGATCTTGTTTATTTGAAGATAACGGAAATATCGAAGCAGATCCATGCGCTTGACTTAATGTTGATGAATAATGATTCTTACAAAATTTTTTTCCACATAATTTCAGTAATGATTGATAAGGTAACTGGTGGAAATCTAGTTGATTACGTTGAACACGTTTTAAAAATAATGATTGATTTGGAATAGATGAAATACTTGGAAGATTTTGTGTTTGACAACCATTTGGTAATAACAGCCAAAATATTTGATCATCGATTAAACAATTTTCTCTTTCAATTTGTTGATTTTCATTCAATGGAATTGTTTTTATTGAATAAATCAAATTATCATTATCAATCTGTTTAACTTGCTGAATGGTTGAACAAGATGAAAGATTTATTGATGTCTTTTTTAAATTATTTCGAAAATCTCCGGATGGAATTAATTTAATACCGCCATATTCTTTTAATAAAGATTCATTTTTGTAAAGGTATTTTAATAAGTCTTTCATTTCATTATCATTTATTGATATCGTTGGAATATCACAGGATTCTTTAGACATTTGTTTTATTCAAACCTAAAAGAAAGGCGAACTTTTCTTACTTTGTAATAGTCGATAATGAAATGTATTGACCTAGATCATATCAAAGCAGCTAAGTGTAAAACGTCCATCCTCTAGGTTATGTCACACTTTCGTTTGAATAATATAGAGCATATTCGAGTGTACTGAAGGTTTTTCTCAATATATTCATAAAATACTTGAAAAAAAACGATTCTTTTAATAAAAAAAAAACAAGAAATTAAATATTTTCATTAGTCTTTTTTATGTGAAAATCACAGTCATTGATTAAATCCAAAAATCATCTCATCACGTAAATATTGATCAATTGTGTTTTAGTTTTAATTAATAAAATATCTTCAAATATAACTTCATTTTAATATAAAAAACAAAGAGAAGAACTATATTCTTTTATCTCTGCCGTTTTTGAAAAAACATTTTATGTGTAGAGCGCCATTTTTCTGGATAAGACAAAACCAAAAATAGGCAATTCCTAACCCTAGCAAATTATATTTGTTTAACAACGTAAAAAGATAATTTTGTTTATTCTTTCATTGACAAAAACTAAAATATTTATTCTCACGAATAAAGTTCAATATTTTCTTCTTTGAGCATAAGTTTAAAAAATTGCCTTTTTTAAAATATGCATCTTTCAACTTCGCACTCCAATTTATTTTCATTTGTCCTTCGCATAGGATAAGCAAGACAGGAAAAAACACGTGTTCGTTTTAGCTGATAATATTTCTTTGTTTTTTTACCTTGATTAAAAGAAACAATAATATCTAGACTCATCTACCGAAATCGACTACTGAATTTACTGTCAAAAAGTATGCGAAAAGACGAAGTAAATTGCAAAGTCGAAAAAAATCAAATGAATCAGTGATTAATATCTCTGGTTTATTGCTGTTCTGTTTATATCAATTCAACTTCAATCCTACAGGTAAAATGCTTTGCATTTACTGAGGACGACCGTTCGTACGCGAAGTTTCTATTGATTCAATATAAACAATAAATTCGATTTTTTTTCATTTATTTAGTTTTATCAATTTTTTCAATTTGATCGATTTTTCAAAGCATTTTAAAAGCGTATTATTTTCGATCTTTCGTATCATTTCATTTGATTTCGTTGAATTTTAATTTATGGTTTAATTTTTTCGAGATTGTTTTTAACTAACAATCAAATTCAAGTTGTATTGCAAGCTTTCAGTCGATTGTTACTATTCCTTTGTGGTTAATGAATTCAGCTACGATCGGCTAATATATGGGTGAAACGATGAGAGCCCATATATATATATATTTCATATTTACTCAAAGATTAAAACGATGATTCTTCTGAAAAGTCTTTTTGTTTTACAAGAAGATCTTTTGGTAACCCATAATCTTGAATAAAACCTTTGTCCATAATAACAATTTGGTCACAATCCATTATGGTATTTAATCTATGTGCGATTGTTAGAATTGTTTGATTACGAAATTTTTCTCGTAAAATATTCTGAATAATTTCATCAGTTTTTCTATCAACATGTGCAGTTGCTTCATCAATTAATAAGATTTTGCTTTGTTTTAACATTGCTCTTGCAACACATATTAATTGACATTCACCAACGCTAAGATTACTTCCATATTCAGCTACTTGTATATCCAAATTATCAAATTTTGTCTTTAATTGTACAGCATCTAATACGTTCCATAATTGTTCATCCGTATATTGTAGAAATGGATCAAGATTATATCTTAATGAATTACTAAAAAGAACAGGCGATTGTGGAATAATATTTAAAATTGATCGTAAATCAATTAAATTGATGGAATGAATATCAATTCCATCGATAAGAATTTTTCCTTCAACTGTTGATGGTTCAGTTAAACGAAATAAACCTTGAAATATTGATGATTTTCCTGAACCAGTTCTCCCAATAATACCAATTTTATTTTGAGGAATTATTTCTAAATTGATTCCTTTTAAAACATGTTCAAGTTCAGGACGATATTTTAATTTATAATTCTCGAATTGAATTCTTCCTTCATAAGGCCAATTAGCAGGTTGAATAATTTTTCCTTGAGATAAACTATCTTCTGAACATAAGTGCGAATATTCATCAATTCGTTCTGCACTTGTCATAAAATTTTCTGTCTCAGCTGATTGTCGAATAGTCCATTGAAAAACCCCAGTCAAACTTATACAATAAGATAAAGCTAAAGCAATCGATGATGTTTCCATCTGATGACGTAAAACAATTGATAAAATGGCTGTAAAAACTGTTAAACAACAAGTCATTAAATCTAATCGAATACCAAACCAGCGACTTGTACAATGAAACAGAAAAGAAGCGCGTGAATTTGCATTAATTTTTTCAATAAATAAATTTAAAAATTCGTTTTCCACATGAAATGCACGTATTGTTATTAAGCCATTTAATGATGAAGAAAAGAGAGCATAAATTGGACTTCGTGTAACACTTTCTAATCGTTTTAAACTTCGACTTGTTCGTAAATAATATCTTCGTAACCATAAAAATACTGGAATTATTGGTATTAATATTAATAAAACCCATGGATTTGCCATACCAACAATAACAATCGAACCTAAAACCATAATTAATGATTCAACTGTACTATAAAATGTTGTTGGTAATAATTCATCCAGTATTTGTTGATCTTTACTGAATCGACTTAATATTCGACCAACTGGATTACTTTCATAAAATCTTAATGATGTATATAAAATACTTTTAAACATACGATTATGTAATACAGATGCGCCATGTAAAATTACATTAAAAAAATAGTCTGCACGAATTAATGAAATTAACAAAGTGCCTAATACTAATCCAAGATAAATATATGCGTAATGATTTTCACGTTGTTCATTGAAATCTTTTGACAACCAAATACTTAGCCATTTATTTGTTGCATCATAAATTCCTTCAGCAAGTAGCATAAGAAAAATTAAGAAAATAAGTCCAATTACTCCATAAGCTGATGTAAATAATTTAGCCCAAATTTTAATATTTACATTTCCATCAATTGATATTTCATCTTTCACAATACTTGTCCTATCAAGTTGTTGTTGTTGTTTATTTGATGGATCGGTAACACTCTCTGCACGTAGTTTTGTTTCTTCCGTATGAAATTGTTGATGTTCATAAGATTTTGCAATATGATCAGTTGATAATAATTCAATTGGCGAACCTTGTTTTTCAATTTGACCATTATTTAATAAAATACAATGATCAAATTCTGTTAAAAACTGTATTTGATGTGTGACTAATAAACGAGTTTTTGTTTTAATTATACTTTCATTACTAATACATGCTTTAAATATCTTTTGTGCAACATTATGATCAACAGCAGCTAATGGATCATCAAATAAATAAATATCTGCATCCGTATATAAAGCTCGGGCAAGCGATATTCTTGCTTTTTGACCGCCGCTCAAGTTAACACCTCTTTCACCAATAATTGTCATATCGCCTGCAGTAAATGTTTGTAAATCGGAAAGTAATTGACAAGCTTCAAGTATATAAGCGTATTTTTCTTCATCAAATGATTTACAAAATAAAATATTTTCACGAATTGAACCAGCAAATATCCAAGGGATTTGAGATACATATGCAATTTGACCATGAATATGACTTGTACCTTTTGTTAATGACATTTCACCAAGAATTGCTAATAAAAGTGAAGATTTATATGAACCTGTTGAACCAATAATACCAACTAATGAACCATTTTGGATATTTAAGTCAATATCATTTAATTCCGATAAACCCCAACTAAATGAAGCTTTATTCATCAGTATATTTCCTAGAATCCCATTTACATCCTTTACTTTTTGATTTCGTTGACATAATTCCATAAATTGATTGATTCTTTTTGCTGCAATTCGACTTTCACTTAATTTTTCGATTGCATAAGGCAAACTAACTGTTACTGGATCTCTTAAATTACTTAATAATGATAAAGCTGTAAAAATATTTGCAGGAGATAAAACTTGGCCCATTAACCAACTTCCAAAAAACAAAGCTAAAGAAATTAATGGTAATGCAGCAAATGATATACCCATATTAATTGCACGAATTCGACTGGCGTTTCTTATACTTTTAAATTCATTTTGCCGGGCATTATAAACGACATTTTCTAATGCTTCTTCCCATTGATACATTTTAACAATTTGACAACCAACAAGAATTTCATTAATAATCTTAATACGTTTATCCGACCATTCAACAGTATTTTTTCGATTTTTCGCAAACTGTTTACTAAATATTAATTGTAATGGTACCAGTATAAGTAAAACACCATAACCAAATAATACTGGTAAGCCGATTTGATTCCAAATTAAAATAAAAACAATAATTGCTTCTAATGGTGCTGCCCATATTTGATGTATACTTATACTTAATTCCTCAAACTTACCAACATCATTAGATATTAAATTCACAATTTGACCCGTTGTAGTTTCTGTTAGTGAACTTGTTGATAATGATAATAATCTTTTATAAATTATTGATGACAGACTAATTTTTGCATGTGAACCAACACGTACTGTACGAAAGAAATATTGTTGATGTATTATGGCTTGAATAACTGTTGAAAGTCCCAAACCACATGCACAGATATATCCGATATACGAAGGTCGATCATTATTATTAATTGTTAAAACGATTTCTTTTAAAAGTAATGGTTGAGCAACTTTGGCAGCGATATATGGAAATAGAACTAAACCTGAATATATAAGATTTTTCCAAAATGTTTTGATTAAAATTTTTTCTGTACGAAGATCAGGATTTTTCATCCAATGAGACTCAAGTCGATTCAATAAATAATAGCATTCATCTTTAGCTGAAACTTCATATAAATCATCTTCGTTTAATTGTTTTTTATAACCAGTTGTTAATATTGGATTAATCCATGTCCAAAATATAACATGAAACCAACGAAATATTGATGATTCAGCATGATCTAATGCATTCGGTTTACGAGAATTTGATGAATTTTCTTTTGTATTTTTATCACTCATATTAAATATCTACAATAATTCATCATTGAATAAGTATTTTTCATCTTGTTCTCTATACTGCGTATAAATACATACGTCGAGAAACATTGTGAATAATCAATACTAATTAAAAGAATCTTCCGGATTGAAAACTTCATATGTGAGAAAACAATAGAAAATATATAGACGACTGTGCTTGACATATTTCATCTATCATCACCATATATTCTATCCTGTACGTCAGAGAGAAGACTACTTATACTACGCTGTATTTTGAATCTATCATTTTTTATAGTTCCAGTAGCAAAAGTCATCCTTTTCTGACAGACCTTACGTCAGCTCTGTTCCCACTTCAGCCAAGACCTTAAAAGCCTTAGATTTGACAGTTAAACTGCTATCTATCACGAATACATACGTCCATGACATAGAACGACAGTCGAACGATTATTTTATAGGGATAAGTATGTGCTGAATTGTCTTCACCTCCGTGTAACACAACCAGATCAGTAGAAAAACATAGTAATGAATGAATACTCTTTAGATCGATCAAATGAGCTAATCGAAATTGTGTTAAATTTCAACTACCTTTGATTTCCCGCCCTCCTCTTGACTTTTCCCCTGTATATACGGAAGTAACACGAACAGTTTTGCGATCTAAAGTATTACAGAACCATCTGGATCATTTTGCAACCATGTTGCCCCACCACCCCCTCTCCATCCTCCACCCACTGTTACATAACTGTCTCGATCATCATATTTCTTTCGTTCTATATTCTCTTTTTTCTATACTTTCTTTCTTCTTCGTCTATATGCTTATGTTCATAATTGACCTCGGGCTGAGAGATTCTTTTTTTCTTATGATCATAAGGAGAAGTTCCTAGTGATTTCTCCTTTGTCTTCAGTTGTATATGAACTCGTCGTTCTTTTTTGTCGAATAGAAAAAAAGAGAATCTTGCAAATGACTCATTATTTAGTATTCTTAACTCCTCGCTTCATCCATTCAATGACCATGTCAACCCTATGTCGATCTTCCTTAGGATCTATGGAAACATCATGAAAAGTTTAGTGGCGGTAGCTATCATAGGGACTGAACATATAGTGTATAGGTAGACAACCGTTCTTCTTTGTTTATATATATATTGAGAAAGGGAGAGAGAGAGATTCTGGAAAAGAATAGCCGAGGTTGATGAATCTAATAGCTTCGAACAGTCTGATTCGATGATTACACTAACGACCATAATCTAATACTCCTAAAAAGAACACTCATGAAATGGATAGTGAGAGTCATTCTGCTGATGAAATCGAACGCGATTTGGTTACGAGAAATCCTATAGAATTATAACATAGGGAAAAAAGTCTTGTACATTTATGATTTTCTCGATAACTTTATTCTTTGTTTTATAACCTTCTACATAACAGAGAAGAAAATCTTGACAATACCAAAGTCTTTTTCTGTTGATATTTGTTAAAAGTTATATAAAGAAGATATTCTAATCCAAATGAGGAAGAATAATGTCATAGTTTACTCAATGAAAACGAATGATTTGATTATGTATTTGTTTTAAAAGAATACTCGTTGAATAATGAAAATATAAAAAGGTATAGGTCAATCATTATTTATGTAATTCGTTAGTAAGTAGACGTCTGATCTAGTTTATATTTGAATATAAATTGAAGTTTTTAGATGATTTACGACTTTCAAAGATTCCGTGTTCTAATATATGATAGACATATGTCACTTCATCGTTGTCTTTGGTCAACTTTCGTGGAGTCAAATATATGTATAGATTTTTTAATATTAACACATTCACCGCGATTCAGTTTTCATGAAGAAAGTGTTTGATATATCTATTTCTGTCAATAGTTATCTTCTAACTAATTCATGTAGCGACCTTTTCACTATCTTTTTCATATCATGACATCATGAATCAGCAAAAGCTCTAGTTTTTGTCTACTTATTCTTATATCCGTGGTTTGACATATAAAAGCAATCGAAGTTTCCGAGTAGTTCCCATATCTTTCGAAGAAATCGATGCAGAAGAGACTGATAGTTCACTTGCTGAAGCGAGTATTTTCGATCAGGATCTAGACAGTATGCGGCAATGAATCTGGAAACTCTCACGAAGAAATGTCTGGTGACGAGGCACATTCAAACGTCTAGAATGGAATAGAATCAGAACGAAATTACGGAATTTAACTTTTGTTTTAGAGGATAATACAGTCAGTGTTATCGATGTTTCATCACAGATGAAGTCATTGATCTTATGTTTGATGAAACTTATCGATGCGTGGAATAGTATTTGCATGCCTATAAGATTGGCAGGTGGTGCGAATATCTTGAATGGAAAGCAGCTACCCATGAAGAAATACTCAAGTTCTTTACGATCATTATTGAGATGGGGATGATAAAAATGTCAGAGATGAAACATTACTGAAGCATTATTCAGTTGGAGGTTATTCGAAGCACATGTCAAGAGAGAAAGGCTCAAATTACTCCTCAAGTTCTGACATTTTTTGGTCAACGCTGACAATAATTCGAACTAAGAAAGGCTAATTCAAGCTGTAACCAACCTCAGATCTACTGACAGAGGAATGTTCATCAGTATGTAGCCTAGTTCAGTTATTAGTTTTGACGAAAGTATGATACCATAGCGAAGCAGGCGTTTTTTTAGCCAATATATATTTGATAAAGCATACAAGCACAGAATCAAGATGATCAAATCAGCGGCTGTCAATGGACACACTTGGAATTATGTAATCTATACTGACGAGTATGAATCGATGGTAGGTGTTGGACATACTCAAACAATAGCAGTGAACTTGTTAGATGGTTTGGGCAGATGTTATTGAACCGAAGTAGCCAAGAACTACTTTACGACTATGTCTCTTGCCAAAGAACTGTTGGAACATGAAATGTATCGTATCGGAAGACTAAGGAGGAATCTGTTTGATTTGAAAGACAAGTTTTTGAGGAAGAGTTTAATCGCGGTGAAGTTTATGCGTTTCGGAATAAAGAAGAAACAAAATTGATTGTGTGAAAATGTAAACAAGACGCCTTGATAATATCTGCAAGACTATAATATTTCGAAAGTGTAGCAAACAGTTGAAACAGGAATTTTCAAAATGAGCCCATCTTGAAGTCGCAAGTCGTACTATATTACAACAAAGAAAGACAAGACACTAGTTTATCTGATCAACTGTCATCATACTATACGTGTCTTAAGAAGTCAATAAAATAATATCGCAAAGTCACATCTGAACTAGCTTTCGGGACGGCACTGATAAATAGTTATTTGATATGCACGGAAAACTACACAGGTAGCAAAGTGATTGTTCTGAAGTTTGTAGAAAATCTTATTCGCCCCTTATTGCTTGTTATGTCTGTTGAGAAGTTAAAGCCTAGTCCATGAAAAAAATCAGTAAGTTCTTCGAATTCGAAGCAAAAACTCGAAGAAGAAGCAGAATCTATATACCGCGCGGGTAGACGATGCGCTGACTATTATCAAATAAAGGGAAGAGCATACTAATCAAGAGAAGTAAGCTATGTGGCAACAAAGAAGGTAAAAACTTTCTGTTCTAACTGTGGTAAATATTTATGTCGTGAGTATTTTAATGATGAGGATGATGCTATAAGATGAAAGAGTCAAATAAAGCATTCGAAACAGCACAAATGAATCCTTATATTTAATGTCTTGCTTAGAAAGCAAAATAAAGTGATTTTTAATGCACTTTCTCGTTAGAACAGCGTGGTCTGCTGCTAGACCACATCGTAGCGAATCTGTAAAAAATTTTGTCTGTCTATAGAGTTGAAAATAATGCTGATTTTCTGTGACTTCGTGATATTCTAAAGGGCATGATGAATATATAGCCCATGGTTTTCTCCTTGAAAATAAGACTGCTGGTGTCTTTTCTTCACTTAAGATAATTAACGCTAGCTCCATAATTCCTCAACACATCATCAAAACCGGACAGATCCAGAATATATGCGTGAGAAAGATTCGATAGTATTTATTCATTAGTAAAAACTATTATGGTGAACGCTCTTGCTCAGAAAACTACAAAAAAAGCTAGTTACTTAGTATGAATAGTGACAGAAAAGTTAATAAATTACTACTTGTTTGTATTATTCCCTCTACTGAAAGTACGCTATTTATCATAGGGAACGAGTGTGACCAAGCATCAAAAATTCTTCGCGTGCCTTGGCATCCGTGAGGAAGATGCCAATCATAGCCGATGTTGTTGTGCGTGTATTGACTTTTTCCGCTCCACGCATGACCATGCACATATGTACACATTCGACAATAACAGCAACACCTTGTGGTTGAATAGCTTCGTCGATAGCTTCTGCAATTTGTCGCGTTAAGCGTTCTTGCACTAGAAGTAAGCCACGTAAAATGAGCTGTTTATAATTATTATCTAAGTAAGCTAACCTTGAAGACGACGACTAAAGATCTCGACGATTCTAGATAAAATATAATAAGCATTTCCTTTCTAGGCTTAATTAAATAACTTACCTCGCAACTTTACTCAATCCAATGACTCGATCTTTCGGTAGATAGCCAACTGATACTTTACCAAAAAAGGGTACCCTATACAGAACTCGAATAGTAGAAAATATAAGTTTAGATAAACTTACAGATGATGTTCGCAAAGTGAATAAATATCAATGTCTTTAATAAGCACCATATTTTCACACTGTTCATCAAATATTGCATCCTTGACAACGTCGCTAATTTTTTCTTCATACCCTTTGGTAAAGAAAAGCATAGCTTCCGCAGCACGCTTTGGAGTTTTAAGTAGACCTATTATAAATAGTAAAAATGAAAGCTGTTCTATGAAAAATTAAAATAAAAGTCTTTTTGAATGGTAGCTTTTGTACTAAAAATTTTGAGCGCTATTATAGGATGGCTGTGGCTGTGATTGTGTATACTTAGTTAAAACTTGATTCTTAATAGAAGGTCACCTAAAACGAAGCGATATACCGAGACACTGTATAAGGCCATGGTCTTTTATGCTGGGGGCCTCTAGGAAGAATACTCACATCCTCCACGAAAAGGTGTTGGAGGAATTAACAGGAAATCGAAAATGTGATAGACAATGAAGCTACGCAAATTCTATTCGCCTAGTGGAAATAAATCAAATATTCTATTTTTGATCGGTCGTTACCTAAACAGTGGAATCTAGCGCTCAAGTT